GGGATTTTAATAGGGACTGCATTGATTTTTACTATGTTGATCCTACTGATCTGTGAGCACAGGAGATCTTTCCATCTTCTGATATCTTCTTCAATTTCTTTCTTCAAAGATTTGAAGTTCTTGTCATACAGGTCTTTCACTTTAAACTCTGCCAATTGAAGAGTTTTACAGAGAATCACATGACCAGATAATGTAATCAGCTGCCTGTCCTTTTAAGACTCCTTCCATTCCACATGCAAAGAGAGCAAAAGGAACACAAAACCTGAGGTGGCCAGCTAAACTCCAATAGTTCAGAACTCACACAAACTGAACACAACCTACAGCCTTTTCTGTGTGTTCAGTGGCCCACTTGACACCTGTTTCCTCCTTCAGGCTTCCTATTGATTTGGGTCTTGCCACCATTTTCCTTACCCTCATGTCTTGTAATCTGTGATTCTTACAAGAGGAACCTGTGTCTTCTTTCTGGACCCAGTGTTGTTTGTATTTGCCTGCAATGCCATTTGAGAACTCTGACAAGGCCAGGCAAATTGCATTCCAGTTAGCTATGAACATGCCAAGAATGATCTCTCCATTTTGTCAGAGAGTCCAACAGTGGACAGCAATGAGGAAACAGGTAAGGAGGACAGTACATCTACACCAGAGTACCGAAGGCAGTTTCCTCTGCAAGAAAAAGTTCATTAATGTGAGTCCTCTTATGTAAACACCAGGATATAGATACAAAAGGCACACAGAGAGGTGTGTATAGGAGACACGTTTCAGGAAGTCCACACCTGTGTAGCCACTGCCCAGACTGAGCGATGGAATGTTCTTAGCCTCCACAGGTTTCTTTTATATCTCCTTTCAGTGAATCCACGTTAAGACAAACACCTCACTACTGACCTCTATCATCACAGCATTACGGCTAAATCTTCTAACTTCAATGAGTCAGATATTCCTGCCCTCAGACAAGCATGTAAGATGTCAAGATGGTTGTTTCTCCTTCACAGTAATCTAGCTTTCTGAGCCTTATAACAAGCCGTCTGGGGCTGGCAAGCTAGTGCAATCCTGGAGACCCACCCCGGAGAGAAACTGACTCAAGTCTTCCTCTGACTTCTACCTGTGCACATGCACATAAACCCTAAGCAAATCAGCAATTAAAATAAGCAGTTTTAATGTAATAAATTACCTGCTTAATCTCAGTAAATAGAAAGAACTGCCCATAGCCTTTCCTCACTAGCACTGGGAGAAAGGTAGCATCTTTTTTTTTTAATCATGCAAATGGATAAGGCCATGGGGTCGAGGATTTGGAAACTGTTGGATTCAGAAAAATATTACAATGTGTGTATTGTGCATGTTATGCACTACTCACAGTGGGATCTGGGTCTGTGACTCAGAAATGCATTCATATTTCTTTAAAAATTTTTGTTGCATGTATTTATTGTGCATATGTATGTGTGCACGGGTGCATGCCACAGTGCTCATGTGATTGTCAGAGGACAATTTGGGGGGATCAGGGCTCTCCTTCTACCATGTGGGTCCCGGGTGAACACAGATCATCAGCCGGGGCAGCGAGTGCTTGGTCTACTGAGCCATCTCACCAACAGAACACTCACGTTTCTGAGGAGAAACGGATGACTATTTATATTACGTTCGGAAAACAAGGACTACAGACAAATTCTGATTGTCACAAAGTCTTAAACTACCAAACTTTCCTGAAACATTTGGATTTGAGGATTGTCTATAACACTCTGTGGAGCTGTAGGAGACAGGTTGTCATTTAAGGAACTTTTCTAATAATCAAGGCTTACTCTCATGTTGTGTTCCCCACAGAGCTTTCTCAGGTAATCCCTCTTTTCGAATAACTACAGCACTTGGAGCTTATTCTCCACATCTTATGAAAACATCTGTTCAAAATAAAATGTTCAATTACACAAAAGTAGAAATTCAAGTATAATAATCCCTCATAAAAACGTCAACCAACTTTGACAATGTTATTTCGTCTATTTCCATTGAAGTAACAATGAAAACAATTTTAGGGTTGGGGATCACTACAACATATATTAAAGAGTCTTAGCATTAGGGAGGATGAGAACCACTGCTCTAACCACTGTCCTTCGGGGAAGCTCCTTAAACTCAGGAAGTGAACAACTCAAAAGGCTCAGGAAATCCCTAAAGGAGAATAGCTACATTAGGTCCCTCCCTTCCCAAGTATATATAAACAGTAAAGACTACTGAGAGAAACTCTTAGATAAGTCCATCTTCCTAGAAAACTCTCTGATAAACTGAACTGCTTAGAAGAGGCTCAGACCAACTGACTTCCTGAAAAAAAAAAAAAAAAAAAAAAAAAAAAAAAACCACTCCTACCTGGAGGTTTTGTGGTATGATAAGTTTTAGGCCTCCTGAAGGCCTCTCCACTGTTGCAACAAACCGAATCAGACCAAATTGGAAAGCCCAGGTTTAATGGGTAAAGCGTTCTCGGGCAATTCCCCCAACATGGGGATGCAAGACCAGAAGAACCACATGTATCTTTTCTGGGATGCAGCTTTTATACACTGTGGGAGTGATCTTGAGCCTCTCCGGGGGAGGAGCTGTGTTTGGTGGGCTTTGAAGGAGCAAGTTTAGAGAGAGGGGATGGGAGTTGAGGTGGATCTTCCACCGGACTCCATCCAAACATGGTGTACCTCAGGTCTCCAGCTTTCATCCATGCTGGTTGGGTTTTTGGTGGCTCAGCTGTCTGAGTCATTCTGTGCCTATAGTAACCCTTCACTTATACTCTCATAAGTAACCCTAATAAAACCCATAGGTTCATCAAGTTGGCTCTGGTAGTATCCTTACTGTGGTGGTGTAAATGAGAATGGCCCTCATAGGCTCATAGATTTGAATACTTGGCTACCAGGGAGTGGCACTATTTGAAAGGACTAGGAGATGTGGCCTCATTGGAGGAAGTGTGACACTGGGGGTGGGCTCTGAGGTTTTAAAATCCCATTGCAAGACCCAAGTTTCTCTCTCTTCCTGCTGCCTGTGTGTCCGTATGTAGAGTTCTCAGCTATTTCTCCAGCACCATGTCTGCCGACATGCTGCCATGGTCCCTGCCATGATGAAAATGAAACCTCTGAAACTGTAAGCAAGCTCCAATTAAATGCTTTCTTTTGCAAGTTGCCTTGGTTATGGTGTCTCTTCACAGCAATAGAAAAGTAACTAAGACAGAAGTTTGGATTTTGTGCTATAACCTTACTTAGGTCAGTCTTGAGTTGTCTATCTGGAGTAAGTGGACATTTGATCACATCTCCCCAGGAACAGTGTCACACAACACCTGCTCTGGAGCCAGTATAGAATTCTAAAAAATAATAATTAATTAAAAGGTCTACTGCCTATTACAGTGGGTCAGAGGCACACAGAGCAAAGTATGATTATCATTATTATTCTATTCCTGCTACTAATAACTCTAATGTCCTCAACTTTATCTAATAAGTGTTAGGATATATTCTATGGAAAGGATGATAATTACTGTGATACAAACAAGATTTGTTTTGTACATTTGATCAGTGACTGTTAAGAAATGATTTTTTTAAGGTATAAAACCAGAAAACCTTATTATAATTGATTTATACAAATAGAGTATTATTTTTTAAAATAAGAACTGAAAGTAGGGCTTAAGGCTGAACATGGCTCAATCACTTTCTGAATGGTCTCTAAGAGGATGAAAGAATTTCTTCCAAAGGAGGAGAGTCCCTTGTAAATGGAATCAGAAGCTGTTGACCCTGGACCAGAAAGAAGTATGGCTCAACTCTAAGCAGAGTGTAGATGGCAATCCTATTGCACGTGTCCTAGGAACGAGTCATTTGGATTCCTATGTGTTTGAACGTTGTGGGGATGGAGAGGGAGGGAGAGAACAACAGGAGGAAGAGGAGGAACCGCAGAAAGACTAGCTTGTTTTTCTAGTAACAAAGTATTTACTTTTCACTGGAAGGCGTTTGACCAATCTGCAAGTCAGAGTACACTGGGCACCTGACATTAGCAGATACTGCGTTTAATGAGGACTCCAGTGACCTCAAGCAAATTAAATCCCATCCTGATAGCTCTTTGCAAACCTTCAACCTGGAATAACCCAAAGACGGCAGTCAGAGACAACAGAACTCCGCTGATGAGGAATTCATGACATTTGCCATTTTTCAGCTTCTATCATTCAGCTTGCCACACCTTGTTTCTGGCAGGCGGGGTTACGTCAGGCCACACTTATTTATAGTTCCTCTTTCTTGCGGTGGTGACTATAGCAGCCATACCTATTATTTGTCATCTAACTGTAGTTTTTCCTCAAGTGCCCCACCCTTCAGTGTTCAGGGCAGTGTAACTGCCTGGCTTTGAGGGGAATGATTCACTTTTCTCTCTCTGGCTTCTCTTAAACTTTTCCTATACATTTCCATCACCTTTAAATTCCTTATTTTCTCTTCGTTGCCTCTTATTTACCCTTGTATCTTTTAAAAATTATTATTTATATCCCTAAAGAGCATATCGATTTCATTATAGTGGATAATTTCTAGCGATTACAGTTTCTGAAACAAAAATAAATATCTTCCAAAATCCTAGTTGTGGGGGGGAACAGATGCGGGACGGGGTGCGTGTGTATGTGAACCTTGCTGCCTTCAAGGATGAGAAGGTGAACTGTCCCAGCGCTTTCCCAAGAACACTGAATATCTATTCGTGGTGACGGTGGCAGCATTAATGATTAGTAAATTCCCGGTAGGTCAGTAACTGGGCCAGCAGCCATGGAGGACGGCATAGAATTTTGGAGACGACCTACATTCGCCAATAAGTACTGCTCAGAAAAATGCAGCCCCATCAAAGCGCCCAAGCTTGCGCTTCTTGAGCTCCCTACTCTCCACTCTCCTGCGTGGCCCATCTCTTCCCTCCTCCACAGGCGGTCCAGGAGAACCCACATCACAATCTCCTCGTGTCTGCTGGACTAGAGGATTGGTACCCGCAGACCACGCGCCGCGCCTGCGCACAGCCGTCTTCTCGCGTGAACGCCCTGCGGTGGCTGCCGAGTCCCTGCCGACCCGGAGTGCCTGGCTGGTGGCTGGCATAAGCCGCCCCTCCGCGTCCTCATGGAACCGGGTACCACCCTGCTCCCCCGAAGCGCATCCCTCCTCCCGCCGCCGGCGTCGCGGGTGAACCTTTGCGCGCCGCCTCAGAACAGTTAACAACACCCAGGAACCCGGCGCAGGAAGGTGCAGCCGAGAGGAACCGAGCCCGGGGGGCGGAACCAGGCTGGAGCCACGTCCCGCGCCAGCTCCCGGCCTCCCATTGGCCTGCGCGCCTGTCCGTCCGCCCGGCACCGGCCCGCGCCTCTTTCTCCGCTACCTCTGCGCGTGTGGGGCGGGCTCCCCCCCCCCCCCCCCCCCCCCGGCAGAGCGAGCCGGAGCTGGCGCCGGCTGCCAGGAGCTCGCGGGAGGCCGGCCGGGGCGGCGCCAGGACCGAGCATCGCGGGCTGTAACGCCGCGGCCTCTCTGCCTGCAGCACCACCTGGCGCGGGCCAGGGTTCGGTAAGGCACGGAGCGGGCGGCCTGGTCCTGGAGGGTGGGCGCGGGCCTTTCCGCCCCGGGAGCCGCGCGCGCCGTTTGTGCTTCGCATGTGCGGCCCGCCTGGCGGGTGGGCAGCGGGGCGGAAGGAGGGACTCCGGCACTCTGTTGAGCTCCAGCTCGCCGGTGCCAGGACACCCCGTTTTCCTCCCAGGAGTCCAGCCGGGTGCCTTCCAGATCTCCAGCATCCCAGTATCTTTTCCTCTTGCGCTGGGGAAAGACATACTTTGTGGTTCGAAACCCCTTTGGCAAGATTTCTTTCTCAGCAGAGCCCAGGGAGGCACAGGAGTTGGGCTGTGTGTGTGTGTGTGTGTGTGTGTGTGTGTGTGTGTGTGTGTGTGTGTGTGTGTTCCTCATTTTAAAAGAAAGAGTTGTTGCGGGCTAGAAAGTTCTAAAGATTGGAGTGGTTCTGTCCATTCATCTGTAATGGCACCTGTGCACCGGGATTGGCAGGTGACTCTCACGCTCTTCATGACCAACCCAGAGTGTGGTGTTGCGTTTGTGGCTTTAGGTTCGACTTTATTTTGGGGGGTACTAGTGATCATTCTAGAAAATGTGTATTGCTTGTGGTGATGAGCATGATCAAAATAACTGACCTCAACAGAAGTGCACCCTTAGTAACGTTGGATCCCTGGAATTATCCTCTTAAAATGCTTGTGGCAGTCACTTCTAAGCAAAGCCGTAACGCTGTTACTTCTGTTGGTGTAGGAATTGTTGGTAACAGTAGAAAACACTGTTGTTAGAAATGGTCTGGGCGCTGTTCTCTGAACAAGTTACCCCAGAATAACCTTTTCAGGTTAATGCTGTTATCTCCCAGTAAATACCTTGGAAGGTTAAGTAACTATTTCAAGACCCGAGTCTTTAAATAAGCGAGGGACTGGATTTAAACTCAAGCTAACTTCATAGCTTTTTAACTGTGCATACTCCTTAAGTGTTGTTTTTGTTGGTAAGTGATTGCAAAGTAATGCAAACTTTTTTTTTAGTTTCCAAATATTCTGGAAGATAGAGAAGAAACGGTCGGTCGCATCCCCCGAATAAATTGAAAAGTAAATGTACCTTGTGTGTAACCGCTGTAATTAGGTGGTTATACATCTGCTACACGGTTTTCAGAAACACAGTACAACAGTTTAACTTTTTTAATACTGGATTTTTAAGAAACCAGCCTTGAGCATTGATTGTAAGCTGCAATTGGCTCTTTTGTGTAGTTATGAAAGCTTGAAAGTTAGATACAGAGGCCAGAAATGCTGATACAATGCTTTATCATCACTAGGCTTGGTGGACCTTGCTTTTGTTAGAAGGTCCTCGTTTATTCTTAAAATGAATGAAGAAGCAGCTGAGTCACATCCCTATAAGGAGTTTAGTGTACTTAATGAAAATACATTTCAGAGTCCTGAAGGACTCACTGTTTCAGGGTTGCTGTGTTTATTTGGTTGGTTGGTTAGTGTTTAGAAAGGGGCTAACATAGCCCCAGTCAGCCTTGGATTCTGAATTCTGCCTTGATTCCCAAGTGCTGTGATTCACCCCTGAGCGTCCATAGCCTGCTCATTTTAGAGCTGATGTTTAAGTTAAAAGCTTCTATAGTGCTGTTTATGCCTAATTTGTATTTAATTCCATTTTTAAAATTCTCATCTATTCTAAATTTTATATTATGTTTAAAATTATAGCTCATTGAAGTTGAAATAAACTAGACACACATACACACACACACACACACACACACCCCCCAAAAAAAAAAGAAAGAAAAGGAAGAAAAACTCACTGAAATCTGTTAATCTGGGTTCCAAGTTACGTTCGGTTTAGTAAAAATGTAATTATTTATGGAAAGTGAACTAGTTTATTTGAAGGTGATCATTTTGTTTATACTGCTGAAATTGATCAATGTTTGCAAATTTCAAAGTGAAGAACATATTTATGTAGATATTGTTTAGTATTTTCTGTTGACGGGATCTCTGTCTCCTTTTTTCTTTCTTTTTTTTTTTTGGAGCTGAGGACCGAACCCAGGGCCTTGCGCTTGCTAGGCAAGCGCTCTACCACTGAGCTAAATCCCCAACCCCCTCTGTCTCCTTTTTGACCAAGAGATTGAAGTACTTTAAATGTTAATCTTGATTATCCTCATAGCCTCTAAATTTAATCATTTAAAAAATGTGGATGCAGAAACTCCCAGGTGTTTAGAATGCAGCTTCTGACTGTTCGCCAGTAGCTCCTTCATAAGGAGCGTTTGTACAACAGCGCAGGAAGCATCTTGAGTCTTATTTAAATTTAAACTGTCTTGATTTAAAGCTTGAGGGAGTGAAGAAAGCCCTTTGAGTAGCTCTTGTGGTGAGCTATGAGAACTGAAACCCAGGGAGGGTGTGACTTAACTACAAATTAGTTGATTCAGCAAGTGGCAAAGCAGGGTTTCAGGCCGAGCAGTTGGACTGTAGAACTTGCCCTTTTTATTGGAAACCCTTCAAGTCGGGGCCGTGAGGCTTCCGACAGGATGACGGGTACTGTGTGTATCGCCATGGTGTATATACGCCATCACTCTGTAAGTTTGTCATTGGATTTGCCTTTCCTTTGTGTGTGCCTGTGTGCACTTGGTGCAGAGGCCACCGATGTCCTCAGTTACTTCCCATCTTCTTTGGAGACAGGATCTCTCACTAAGTCTAGACTGACTGGCAAGATCTGCCTGTCGCAATCCCCCCCACCCTCAGCACTGGGGTTACACCCATGTAACTGGCTTTTTATGTGTGGGTGTTAGGGGTTTAAACGCAGGTCCTCGTGGTTGGGAAGCAAGAACTTCACTCATGTCCCCAGCCCTCATTGTATTGAGACAAATGAGTGTTCTGGTGGAGTGGTTGGTTCCCGGATTAAACTTCGTGAACAGTTTTTTTGGGTTTTGTTGTTACTGTTTTTTAAGTATATATGTAGAGGGTATTTGGGACCAGAGAGGAAACTGCCAACTTCTAAGTTAAGAACCGTCTTTAAAACTACTGTAAATCTTGCTGTTTGGAAGGCGGGAGGATTGCTATGATTTTGAGGCCAGTCTTTTCTTTTTTTTTTTTAAAGATTTATTTATTTATTTTGTATACAGAAGAGGGTGCCAGATCTCGTTATAGATGGTTGTGAGCCACCATGTGGGTGCTGGGAATTGAATTCAGGACCTCTGGAAGAGCAGTCGTTGCTCTTAACCTCTGAGCCATCTCTCCAGCCCGAAGCCAGTCTTTTCTAATTAGTGACTTCAGGACCAGCCTTTGGAACATAGCAAAAGTGTCTTTAAGGACAGAATCAGAACTTCCCTCCAAAGTCCACTATTCCCATCCTGTCCTAAAAGATAGGATTTAACTGCCATAAAGTAAAGGTGATAATTAATAACATAAAAACAAAGGATACATTTACTATTATGAATGTCCTAAAAAGGTCCTTAGGTGGTCACAGGCCAGCGAAAACCTGACTAACCCCAATGCCAGTTCAGAGACCATTTGGGATCTCCACGGTGACAGCTCATTCCAAACCGGTCATTATCTGAGTCCAGACTCAAGTTCAAATCTCTAACTGCCAAACTCGCTCATTACACCAAGTCATGACCTCTGTCTTGTGAAGAGTGTCGAAGTCTGGTCTCTAGTGGATAGCCTTTCCAGGTGGTCGCCGTCTCATTTCTGTCTCCAGGGCATGCAGTGACTTTATAGTTGAAGCCGTTTGTAACAGCACCGGGAAAGAGAGGTCCACTGCCTCAGCATTCAGTGAAAGGGGGCAGGGAGAACGGCAGTGGCCATGCCAGCAGAGAACCAGGATCCATGAAACTGGAGTTTCCTGGAGCATGCCCCAGGTTCCATGACCCTCTGGAGTAGGGGACCACAAAGGAAAGCGGTAGACTTTGGTGATGGTAGAACATAAAGAACATTGCATTGTAGGGTGGGGAGATGGTACAGCAGTTAAGAGCACGTGTTCTTGCAGCAGACTGGGGTTCAGTTGCCAGCACCCAAATGGTGGCTCACAGCCGTCTGTAACTCTGGTTCCACAGGATCTGACACCTGGTTTGACTTCCTTGGGCACCGCACTCCCATGGTACACAGACATGAATACAGATAAAAACACCTACCTGAAAGACCCTCCCCTTCCTGAACAGTGAAGTTAATGAAATAGAAAAAAAACACAGAGGCAAATTTGAGAGGGAACTCTTCAGATACAGGAATGAAGAGAGACCCTCCCAGCAGTGGCCAGGAGTTGAAGACAGACTTCTCCTGGGTAGACACGGAACTGTAAGGACAGGTTGAGTCTGAAGTGTTTATTGCTCTACAGGAGATGGAAACGGATTTCCTAGGCCCTGTTTACCCATAGGAACCAAAATTTTATGTCCCGAGTGAGAAGTATGAGAGCAGTCGGCAGGGCTAGGAAGTCTGTCTGTCCTCCCTAGGATGGGGATAGGTTAAGCCCTACATCATAAGTGTGTCCTAAACCTTCAGCTCACTTGAATCTGGGTTTGACAGTCTGCATCCATTTAGATATGGACTAATTTAAGAATTGCTTTTAGGCTGTAAACCCTGGATCTCACTGACGCAAACTCTCAGCGGCCTCCAGAAATTGGCTTCTAGAGAGCATATAACATGTAGGGGCCCACTGTCAAAGATCTCTGCTGTAATTGCCAAAAGAAAATTACCTCAGATAAAAATTATGCCAGGAAAGAAATTAAAACTTATATCTGAGTACTACAGACATTAGAGTGATTTGGAAGGGTCTTGAAAAGGTCTTTGAAATATGTAATGAAACCAGAATTTTAAATTATAAAATATGAATAGGTTCAAATAGAAATATGGACAAATAAAGTGGAAAAAATGCCAATCAGAAATAGGTAATTAGGGCTGGAATGTAGTTTAGTTGGTCGAGGGCTAGCCTGTGGGCCAGATGCCCTGCTTTGCTGTCCAGCACCACAGGAGAACTCCCCAGGCAATGGTGCAGGAAGATCGGAAGCTTGAGGCCTGAGATAGGAGATTTGTCTCAAAAAAAGAAAGGGATCACTGAAGAGCTATGAGAATTTAGGGTAGAGCAGTTGTTTAACAATTTTATTTGGAAGAACGGGATTTAGAGGGAAAAGAAATAACTACATAAAAGTTAAGAAACAAATCTAACCAAAGTTTCAAGGGCTGTAATTTGGAACATGAAAGGAAAACCAGACCAGGAGCCCAGACAGTAGCTGTGATGCTGGATGAAATAGAGCATGCCAATTCCTATGATTGGGCTTTCGTGGTTTTCAGTAAATTAAGAAGTTTCAGGAGGGTGGAATTATAGGTGTGATTCAAAGAAAATCTGTTTAAGTATGTCAATCCACTAATGAGTGCGTAGTTAACTTTAAGGCTATTCACTTGATTTAAATAGCTGTAATCTTTGGCTTCAGGCAGGAATCTCAAGGAGCTAGGTGACATCCTGTAATCCCACAACTTAGATGCTGAGGCAGGAAGATTTACTTGATTTGGGGCTATAGAATGCAATCCTACCCCCCTCCCCCAATAAAAAGAAGGGGGGGGATTATAAAACAAACCCCTCTCCAAAAGACATGAGAGTGGGAAGGGGACCTGTTGGGAGCCAGTTGGAGGGATGGGAGGAGGAAGGATGTGTGCATGTGTTACGGGAATGTATTATATACATGTATAGAATGACAAAGAGTCTTTTTTTTTTTAAAGATCAAAAGTAAGAAAAAAAACCCATCAGGGTCATATGAAATGTTTTTGGTATTTGTCCTGTTCTTTGCTGAGAGCTACAAGTTTTGGAGTTTCTTGAGGGATAGGAATGTCATTTGTTGTTCTTGGTAAGACTTTTTGATTCTATCATTTTATGCTGATAAATGAGGTAACTGGGTAAAGTTCCTGGAGAGCTCCAGGATGGGGCTGGGCACTGCGGGGTCTAGAGGACTGAAACGTTCAGCCTCACCCATGACCTCTGGGAAGGGTGGGGCTGGACATTAAGCTCTATAAAACCACCTGAATTAGAAGAGTTCATGTGCTTCTGGGTTGCCAGACACGTGCAAGACCAGGGGAGGTGGCAGTGTACCCCACTCCTTCGCACTTTGCCCAGCACATCTATCTTGCTGTTCATCTGTATCCTTTCTGTATCATTTAGAGTTAAACAGTAAATAAAGGAAGTCTTTCTCTGAGTACTGTGAACCATTGTAGCAAACGATCAAGGCCAGAAGGGAAGCTGCTTGGTGAGAAGTATAGGTGGCAGTCTTCTTGAGTCAGCCGCTGGAGTGAGGCCAGTCTTGTGAGTGTGGGTCCTTCACCTATTGGTCTGACACGATGTGTAGTATCGCAGTTGAATGGAATTATAGAGCATCCTTGGTATCTGCTGTAGAATTGTGTGGAGTAAGCCTTGTATACAGCTCATCAGGCATTTTCTGTAATTCATAGGAGAGAGATGCTGCATCTCCACAGAATTGGTGACTGAAATGTGGAAGGAGAGGAAAAAGTTTTCTCTTTACCCATAAATAGTTTTGTCCCCTAATTGTTCTGTAGGTGGTAGATCCACTAACTAGGTCCGGAAATAAGTTCTGGTACTTGTTTCCAGAGGAGTGGGGAGCCGCACGCCAGGGAAAACAGAAACTTCACTATTCTCTTAACATTGTGTCTTCAATTTTCAACATGTAAATGAAAAAAGTGAACTTAAATCTGAAGAAATTAGGCTATTTGATTTTTAGATCTCCTGGCATTGTGATCTTCAAACAGTAAATTTGGGTATCTTTATGGATATTCAGGTCATATATAAGTTAAAATTCTAGGAATGACAAAAAAATTACATGCAGTAAAAATTGAAAGTCAAATTCACTTCCGTCCTTTCTGCTCTCCGGTCTCTCCAGATCTCCAGGTGTGTGTTTGTGTTTTCAGATTTGTTTTTAATGTGATGCTCATGTTGTATGTGTACCATCTTCACTAACACAGAACTCTGCTTCTGTCTCACGATTCTTGCCATCCTTTCTCTTAAAAGAAGCCTCAGCTGCATTTTAATTGCTGGCCAGAATTGGACCATAGATGGGTCTTTGAGGGATTTGAACAGGTGGTTTATGAAGATTTTGATGGTTAGCTTTTCCTTTAATCGTCTTTTTTTTCTGTTCTCCCACTTCCTGCTGTGTCACCTTTTCTTAAGGCTCACACTCAGTGCTTAAATTCCTTCCCTAAAATGTTTGCTTAAATTTGTCTCTGTGTTGGCCTTTCATGTACAGTGATTTTTCACTTTCTTCTAGAAAACCTTTCATTCACACGTTCTTTTCACTACAGTCCCTTTCATACTTTATTTTAAAGTTACTTGTATCCATGGCTACCTAAGCTGAGTGGGAACGTTTGTGACAATGTTGAAGTCTTCAGCTTCGCATTCAGTCTGCTATCAGCATCACCCTGAGCTGTGGGTGTGTTGGTGGGGCTCCAGGCCTTATGCGAATGTATCTGAAACAGTGTATCCCAGTGTATCTTCTGATTTCTGGTGCCCGGCAGAAAAGAGCTTCAGCAGAGCGTCTTGAAAACTGCAGTATTTCAGTGTCCCTAACTAAACAATCAGCAGTGCTTGTAAACTAGCTGATCTCTGGATTGAAATACCTGTAGAAAACAATCCAGAAATGCTGCTGACTTCCAGCCCCTAGGGGTGTGTGTGCAAGTACAACACAGGAAGGAGAGTTTCCGTCCTTCAGATGACAGGGATTTGAAGCCTCTGCAGCAGGGGCCAGCAGCTTTGTTTTAAAGTAAAGAATTAGTGAGTAAACAGTTTAGGTATTCTGAGTCACCTGTTTTCTTTGTGTTCTCTGCTTTTATTTTGCTTATGTGTTTCTGCAACCCTATGAAAAATGTGAAAACCCTTCTCGGGTCAAGGACCACATACAAACAGGCCTGTTGCTTTTAGAAGAGCACACCCATTTTCGATTGCCAGCCTACACTGTCATAAAACAGTATTGCTCGCCCATAAAACAGTATAGTCTTGAGACACTTTGAAGCTAGTGTCTTGTTCGATGATAAAATTTAAAGTGTGGTGCCCCTTTTTCTTCCCTAGGGATTTCCCGTTGTTTCGGTGGTGTCTCCTGGGGGAAGCAGAGGAGAAACTAAAAAACGGGAGGAATGTAACCCGAGAACTCCATACTGTCCCTGTAACTTCTGTGAAAGCTGGACCCAAGCGCTTATTTGAAAGTCATATTTTATGGTTGTTCTTTAGGAAATGTCTTTAGTTGGTCGAGCTGTGTTTTTGTTTTATTGCTTGGTGAGCAGTCACTTGGCTTTGACAGTCTTACTTAACAGAGGTTCTTCCTGTTTACTCGGGACTTTGAGAAGAGCAGGGGAGAAGCCAAAAGACTTTCCATAACATCAGCAGATAGATAACCAGAAGCTACACATGTCAGCCTTCAAGGCAGCTCCATATTCGTTCTATATAGCTGTATGTAGCTATATTATACATAGTATATGTAATGCCATTTCAGTCTTCCTTGGGGTCTTATAATAAATTAAATGGTTATTCCAGCATTTGTTGGCACACTTGACACCACTACATAGGTTTTTTAAAAAATAATTTCAAAAGATGCATTTTACACATCTATCATATCCCTTTCCTCTGTACCTTTGTATCGTGCATTCAAAGTGGAATACCTTCTCTGTGACTACTATATATTCATTTTTTGGTTGCCGTGATCAAAACCTGACAAAAAACTTATAAGGAGAGGGGTTTGTTTTGGGTGAAGGCAGGGGAAGCATGGCAGAGTCCATGACAGCGGAAGAGCTCGAGGCTGGGACCAAAGGGGTGGAGGGAGATAAACACTGACTTACTCTTTTTCCCCTCTTCATTCAGTCCAGGACCCCAGCCCGTGCATGGTGTCACTCACATTCAGGGTAGGGTTTTCCACTAAACCTTTCTGGAAGTGCACCACAGACATCATCACAGACATCGGAGGCATGTCTCCTGGGTGATTCTAATTCCAGTCAGGTCGACAGCGAAGTGTAGCTCAGTTGCCAAGGTCAGGGAGTGTAACATCAGTAGTGTATCTCCCTCCCCGTCAGCTGTCTCAGTGATGCCTTTAAACTAGAGCGTTTTCCGGAGTGCAGTGAGCATCCACGTCTGCCTTTGAAATGGGTGATGCTTTGGAGCTATGTGTTTCTTACCAGCACTTCGTTTTTCCCAGGGGAGAGAAAAGATGTTTTCCCGGGTAAGAGCCGTTACCACTCCTTGTGCTTTGACATGCCGCCGCCATTTGCACCTGAAGGAGAAAGGCAAGCCACTCATGCTGAATCCAAGAACAAACAAGGTTAGTGACGTTAATGCCAGAGTGATTTATCTTCCTGTAGAGGTGTGCTTTTGGACTGATAAGGCTGGAAAGTTTTGTATTTGATAGCTCTGTAGCTGTCCATCTAAGGCCTGTGGAGGGTTGCTTTTTCTGTGTCGGATCTCTTCATTCAGCTGGCTTTTGTTTCTTTGTTTGTTTGGTTGGTTTTGGTTTTTCAAGACAGTGTTCCTCTTTGTAGCCCTGGCTGTCCCGGAACTCACTCTGTAGACCAGGCTGGCCTCGAACTCAGAGATCTGCCTGCCTCTGCCTCCCGAGAGCTCCCGAGAAAACATTCAGGTTTTGACTCATTCTGACCTTTATTTACTGGATGACACTGGCATCTGATTCAGACCTCTTGGCAACTCAGCTGATGTCATCTGAAAAAAATGGCAGAAAGCAGCTCCTGCTTGTTGATGCATTCTATGGAGGGAAGAACACGGGGCTTTTGACCTGCTTTGCATCGTGTCTGGCATGTGCTTAAGAAATGTATCAACAGTGGTCAGGGGAGAGTTCAGTGGTAGAGTGCATGCTTACCGTGTTCCTAGATTCAGTCCTCAGCACCACAAAACAGTCGTCAATAAAATGTAACTCTGGGTAAATATATACAAGATGGACTGGCTGGTTTGTGTGTCAACTTGACATAAGCTAGAGTCACCAGAGAGCAAGGAGCCTCTGTTGAGGAAATGCCTCCATGAGGTCCAGCTGGGAGGCATTTTCTCAATTAGTGATTAATGGTGGAGGGCCTAGACCGTGGTGGGTGGTACCATCCCTGGGCTGGTGGTCTTGGGTTCTCTAAGAAAGCAGGCTGAGCAAGCCAGGGGAAGCAAGCCAGTAAGCAGCACCCTCCATGGCCTCTGCATCAGCTTGTGACTCCAGGTTTCAACCCTGCATGAGTTCCTGTCCTGCCTTCCTCCAGTGATGGACTATGATCTGAAAATGTAAGCCAAATAAACCCTTTCCTCCCCAACTTGCTTTTTGGTTGTGATGTTTCATTGCAGCAATAGAAACCCTAACTCAGACAATGTAATATTTTAAAAATGTAATCTGAAAAGAGATTTCTTAAAGAAAGCTTGCAAGAGGGTACATAGTGTTTATCACATATATGAAGTGTGTATGCCTTCTTGGGAATGCTGCATTGAGATGAAAGGTGTGATCTGTTTTAAAAAACTTGCTGTAAAAATTTTGCCTATTCTGTTTTTTTCTGTTGTAAGAGAAAAATTATGAGCTGTTTAGCATACCGTGTTTACAGGAGTTTGAGGCCTGCAAAGGAATAGTGGGTGCACAGAGTACTCCTCAACTTAGCATGTCGGATACTTGCAGAGAGTTATGCAAGCTGCAGTTACAGGGTGCGTAAAGAAGGAGCTCCCTTCTCGGTTTCCCCCTTCTCGGTTTTCCCCGCCTCCACATCCTACATGCTCTTTAACCTGCAGCTCCTTCCTCATCCAGGACTGGAGACATGGGGTGCTGAAAGAGCACCAGCAGGGCGTGCTTGGAGACTCATTCAACCCCTAGAAACGTTATAAAGCAAAACAAAGCAGAACTCCAGTGACCTTTCCACACCACCATAGATGGGTGGTTGCTCCTTTTCTGAAACCCTGCAGCAATTCTTAGCCCGTGTTCCTATGCCATCACCAGTTTTTGTCTCTTTCTACTGCTTTCTGTGTCTTAAGATCATGTTCCCATGAGTTTATCTTTTTGAGTATATTTCCTGTTCCTTTGGGACAGTACCATTCATCTACTTTGTATCTTTTCTAATGCCTCATAGTAGCCATTTTGTACATATGTTGGGTTTGCTTATTTGTCTTTAAAGTGTGTGTGTCTGTGTCTGTGTCTCTGTGTGTGTCTGTGCCTGCAGAGGTGTCCGAACCCTCTGGACCTGGAGTTACAAGTGGTTGTGAGCCCCCAATGCGGGTGCTGGAATTGAACTCGAGTCCTTTGAAGAGAAGCCTGTCTTCTTACCTGCTGAGCTATCTCTCCAGCACACACACCTTATCTGGCTTCTTAGAGTGATAGATGTTTCTTTTTCTCTCTTTTCTTTCTTTCTCTTTCTCTTCCAAATCCAGCACGGAGCATCCAGCTCCGGGCCTTGTACATGCTGAGCAAGCTTCTATCACTGAGCTATGTCTCAGCTTCTACTTTATAGTGATATTTAAGTGTGTATTTTTATTCTGTATATCTAATGAAGTCTCTGGTTAGTTTGGCAGTCAGCTGAGGATAGGACAAAGACTTACATGTCTGGAGCTCGAACCATTTAGTCTCCCGTGCTTCGCTCGGGGCTCTGTTGCATGATGCACGCCTGGTCCACTCAAACACCTTGTATAGCTCCTGCTCTCGGACCTGCCGGTTATCTTCCGGCTTTTTCCTGGATGCTGTATTCCCCCAGCTACCTCAGAGCTTTTCCGTGCCTCACTCCTGTGGACATCTTATTCCCTAAGCGTTTTCCTACGCAGCTTTTTGTGTATCCTGTTGTTTAGTGGGCATTATCCAGTGTTTCAAGCAGTTGTCTGAAACTAGGTTCAGCTGCTTTTCTTGGATAAATGCTAAGCCTTCGGTTATTTTCCAGAACTAAAAAAAAAAGTTGATTCCTGATCATTTGGCTAATGCTCTTATCCCTTATCCCTTCTATGGAGGAAAGAATTTTAATAAATCCATACCTAAGCATTTTTGCTGGGTTCATTTTAATATAATTTATCCATGCCTAAAACCTGGAAATTGAATATGTTTTGACATAGATTAATTTTCAGCTCTATTTCGTTGATTTCATTTATATGTTACATGCATCTATATATAATATGAAGTTTTGGTGAGTTTTCTAAGCATAAATGGGTTAACAGTGTGCTTTGATTGGCACTCTGTGGTACTCATTGTATGGATATACCGTGAATTTCCTATGGCATAGATGATGAACTTGTAGTTTGTAATAGCCAAGTGATCTAGGAGCATTGTTAGAACTGATCACTGTTATATACCTATGTATTCTCTATTTAACTAGATATTTCTCTGGAATGACTATGTGCAGGTTATATTGCTTAATTAGAAAATATGTGCACTAAGTGTAGCCAGGTGTGGTAGCACACACACCTTTAATCCTAGCACCTCACTAGGGAGGCAGAGTCCTGCCTGGTCTATGGAGCAAGTTTCAGGATAGCCAGGGCTACACAGAAACCCTGTATCAATCCAGAAAGCAAAACAAACCCAAGACGTTTAGATGTTCTTTAGGTCTTCTTCCATCTCCAACAGCAGCATCTCCAAGACAGAACTCCCCCCCCCCCATACATTCATCTTTTATGATATCATCAGTCTTAAAACATTTTGAACTTCCTGGAAAAGGTGTTTTACTTTTCAGGATTTTCATTTAACTTGTATTTTAAAGGGCGGTGCTGTTGCTCCTGCAGTTAGTACTAATTTTAATTCTTCACTTCTGTTTTTTAGGGGATGGCGTTTACGTTACAAGAACGGCAAATGCTTGGTCTTCAAGGACTTTTACCTCCTAAAATAGAGACGCAAGATATTCAAGCCTTACGATTCCATAGAAACTTGAAAAAAATGACTAACCCTTTAGAAAAGTAAGAGCTGATGGGATGTTTAGTTGCGTGTTGGCAGTCTTTTTTTAGAATCACAGTGCGATTGTTCATGGCCTGAGAAATGTCCACGCTCCCAGTGAACTTTGTTCTTTTATCAGTTACTTCCTGCTATGGTGATTATGTCTTCTTCCCTTTAGGGCATGCTTGCCAGTGATCACGGCTGTAGAATTGGGCAGAAATAAGTTCTGTGCCAATGATAATGCCTTGCATTCACATTCCACGTGTGATTTGGAAACAGGAGGTGCCGTCTGATTTGCTCCCATTTCATTCCACAGCTCTCACTGGTCTCCCACTTTGTGTGTGACATTTTGCTGCTAGATTTGGAAGTGCAGGAATCCAGGAATAAGGGGCTGCCTCTGAGAGGGCTTTCTTGCTGGTAGAGACTTGAGGTTCCATGGGACATCAAATAATGAGGGAGCTAACTGTCTTTTTTAAGTAAGTTGCGTCTGCTGATAACTAACCTGCTCCCATGATAGCCCAGGGACCAACCCAGTGACATACAGCCCCACCTTCTAGGAGTTCAACAGCAGATAGCTATGCTGTGACTGTAACTGCATTCTGTCTGTACTGCGGTGTGTGTTGTGGTAGAAAAATTGCATTTTTCTATTCTGAGAGCATGAGGGGTCATGTAGCCCAACTTGGGGAATGAGATAAAACTTCTAGAAGGAAGCAATATCTAAGCTGAAATCGAAAGCCTGTTGCAAGCTAACAGTTAAAATGAGAAAGGAAGGTATTGCAGGTAGCGGGAGCTGTCTGAATTCAGGACTGACTGTATCTATTGGGGTAAATATAAACACTGCTGACCTGTGGGAGTAGTTCCGTTGATTGGATGGGACAAAAAGATAGCTCCATTGAGAAGCGAGTGGGTGGGAAGAAAAATGTAATCTCCTCTGAAGTTCAAGTAAGAGGGGCAAGAAAGACATTGAGCCATGGAAAAAGTGGAACTCTGGTTTAGGTATTCTCGCTTGGGGAACAAGTTGAAAGTGTTCATAGTTGCACAGAACAGACTCAGGAGAAACTGCTGCAGCAAGGTTCCAGAAGAAGATAAAGGGGCAAGTGCAGAGGTAGAAGGCTCCGTTAATCCAGAGGGGGTAAACGCAGATATATTGGTAAGGGTAGGTGTGCTAGTGATGGCTCTGAACTCTTACCTGGTGAAATGGAATTTGAATGTCCCAGATAAACTATAGAAGGGCTAAGGTCACACGGAGAAAGCCTATTCAGTTAGGAAGTGAAGCCCCTCCAAGTTAGATGGGTCGGAAAGAGCAGCCCTGCCATTGTGGCACACTTACTTCTCAAGTGTTAACAGCACTTGAGAAACTGATGAGGAAGGAGCAGGTTCATAACTTGAAGGCTAGCCTGGGCTACACAGTGAGACCCTGTCTAAACACAACAAAATGCACGAGAGCAGGCCCTGAAGCCCCGTGGAATGATCTCATTTGTAGAGCTGTCGTTCTACGGGCAGTGTTAGTTTCTACAGAGGAGGAGAATGTAGCCTTGGATCAGGTTTGGGGCATTGTTCTAGGCTCCTTACTGTGAAGTGAAATTCAGCCTGTCTGGAGTTGACTGATTGGTGGGCGGGGACATACATGCTCTGGTAGGTAGGGTTTTGCAGTGGTAGAGATGTGTGTACCTGTAACTTCGCAAACGGTGACAGTTGGGGAAGAGGGTAGGGTTGTGATGGTGTGGAATTCCGGGCATGTGTCACCCCTACGTTTTAAGAGACCTGGGTAGGAACAAGATCAGTGTGAGGCAGAGTGAAGGTAGAGTGGACGGAGGAGGGGCCAGAGTTGCACAGCTCCCTCTCACGTGCCTGAAGGGTCATCTGTTTCTTTACTACCCCGTCATCTCTTTCAGAAAGCCTTCTTTTCCATTTTATAGCCTGATTGCTTTTGATTACTTCCCTAGAGTGAGGAGAAATCTTCTCTTTAATTTCTACCTATTATTGATGTCATTTCTGTCCCTGGTAGCTATATAGAAAATACAGTTCATTTGTATAAATGGTTTAAGTATTCACCAAATAAAATATAGAAATACAGACGTCTCAGCCTAAAATGGAGTTATGTTCAAATAAACCATTTTTTTTTTTTTTTTTTTTTTTTTGGTTTTTCGAGACAGGGTTTCTCTGTGTAGCTTTGCGCCTTTCCTGGTACTCGCTTTGGAGACCAGGCTGGCCTCGAACTCACAGAGATCCGCCTGCCTCTGCCTCCCGAGTGCTGGGATTAAAGGCGTGCGCCACCACCGCCCGGCTCAAATAAACCATTTTTAAATTGAAAAATATTGTAAGGTGAAGGTGTGTTTAGTACACCCAACATACCAAATACCATAGCTCAACAACACAATCCATTTCAGAGCAAATTGCTGACCTTTGATTGCATGACTACCTGAAAGCCATGGCTTTACTGTAAGAGCCCGGCATAAGAGAGAGTATTTGCATATAACCTCCACATATATATACCCTCCCTTTTACAGATGATCACTCCCTTAAGGTTTTTTTTTTCTTTTTCTTAACAGTGCAAAAGCAATGTGAAGTTGCATACAGTAGAAATAATAGGGTGTGGTAGGACCAGAACCCAGGAATGTAGAGTATATGTGTGCAGTAGGAGAGGGGAATGGATGGCCTCAGAGCTACATTAGGAGACATGAGTCAGGAAGTGTTCCTAGCAGATAACAAGACAGGGCCATCTGATGCATCGTTTCCAAGGAGATGAAGTAAGTCAGGATAGAGGAAATGAGGCCGGAAAGTACATGAGGGTTTGTAACTTTTAGGGGTTTGAGCTTTATTTTACTGGCATTTAGAATTCATTTAAGAGCAATTAGAAATGATCACAGATCATGTATTTTAAAAGAGTGGATTGGAGCAAGAAAGGAAAATTGTCTAAAGACTAGTTAGTGGTTTAGGCTGGATATGAGGAGAAGTGGACATAGTTGAAAGATACTGGGAGGGAGGGAGAGAGAGAGAGAGAGAGAAGAAAAGAAATTAAGAATGGCCTTGAGAGCAGTGCTGGGGGCCTTCAGTGTGTGGTGAACATTTGGATGCATACCATTTCCTTTAGCTGCTTCTTTATGTGTGGGCCTCTGTTGACCCCTTAGCGTTTCCAGGCCTTCGTTCAAAGGGTTAGCTGTCATTTCTCTGGTTATCATCTAACACTTAAGTACTCCTGTGTGCTGCTAATTTTTAGTACTGTGTGTTACAGAATTATAACTTAGGGTTTTGGTGTGGTTTCTTTTTTTGAGGTAGGGGCGCATGTGTGTCTGTGTTCATGAATGTATGTGAAGGTGCACAGTTTTAGACATCTAGGTTAACTTTCAAAAGTCAAATTTTTCAGTGTGATGCAAGCTAACTTAGACATTATTTGCTGTGCTTAATTTTAGATACATCTATATAATGGGCATACAAGAAAGAAATGAAAAACTGTTTTATAGAATACTGCAAGATGATATTGAAAGTCTGATGCCAATTGTATATACACCAACAGTTGGTCTTGCCTGTTCCCAATATGGACACATCTTTAGAAGACCTAAGTAAGGCTTGTTTTTAAATACAAATATGCCATTGATTATTGTGTAAGGAAAACATTCTGTAATATCTAATTAGATTTCTGTGTGTTACGGTCATATCCCTGCCAGATTTCTCGCCTCACATAAGCCGAGTTTGTATTAAAAGCCGAATTGGTATTAATAAAGACTCAACATGTTCATATCTCTTGTTTTTGTAGAAATAGCTCAATTAACTAGCTCCTAATAATTGTTGCCGTTATTGGAGGAGTTGTATAGTAACTGCACCTTTCTCCTCCCCAGGCCATAATTACGCTTCAGCCTTTGGCAGTTTGCCAGGTTGGGGGTGGCATTTATCAGCTTTAGTTTCTAATGCTTGTCCTCCCTTTTAAAAGAAAAGTTAGCTTTGATGAATTTTAATTTCAGACCGTTCTAGCACGGTCAGACATCTTAGTAGGAAGAGTTCCTCCTCCGTGTGCCTCACGTCCTTGAGGGAGCACATGGCTGCCTGCCACCTCAGGGTGACAGAACCGCAACAGACCATTGAGAGGAAATTGACGGGCTGGATCTGCTGGAGACGGTTTCTGAGTTTTTCTGCCCCTTCTGATCCCTTGTTTTTTCCCAGGGCCAGCTCACATTTTGATATCTTTGTAGGCATTTAGATCAGGAATGACAGCATCTCCCCCCCCCCACATATCTAGTCTGAAGACTCCTCTCAAACTTGAGTCCGTAAGAAGCACCTGCTGAATTATTTAAAAGGTTGAACCCTGCCAACTTTCTCTCTCCCCACCAGCTTCTGATGAGGAAGAAGATCTAGCAGCCTGAACTTAGCGAGCACCCTCCATGCTTACGTGACAGAAACCCCCTGGCAGACACCGAAAAGCACTGTTGAACCTGTATGGTGCTATTACCAAAGTATTCAGAACATTTCTAGGAGATAGCCTAGTGGTTGGCCGCATGTGTGGTTTCTTCTGAGAAGAGTCTTTCCCAACTCAGCTTAAAGGAGAAAAGGAAACTGGAAGTGTGCTGCCAAACCTCACCCTGTGTGGTTCAGTTGTCGAGGCGTGGGCCCAGGTGTAGTTTATAAAAGCCCCTTGAGTGATTCTCATGTGCACCGCAGATGAGAATTGACAGGAGACGTAACCACACGGGCCAGGGCTTTTGGATGCTGTTACAGCATGAATTCTTTGTTTTCTGTGTAGGAATTTTTCTTTATTTTTCGCTTTGATAATTAGACCATGCAATGGGGACACATTTCTTTTTGGGAAAATGATCACATCAGTTAACAATAATCTTTGTTATTCTGTAAGCAGCATAGTTATCATTTGAAAGAGTTGAAGTGTTTAGAAATAAATCAGTGCTTGGAAATGAAACCATATCTTGATGCTTTATTAAAATATCTTTAAGTATCCCAATTATGGACAAAGACATAGAAAATATTGGTCATGAAATGTGAAGGTGTTTTGTTCTGTTGCAGGGGATTGTTTATTTCAATCTCAGACAGAGGTCATGTCAGATCAATTGTGGATAACTGGCCAGAAAATCATGTTAAGGTACGAAGAGCACACCCTCCTTCTCACATGTCTTCTCCTCCTTGTAAGTTAACTTTAGATCGCCAAGAACAAGTTTCCTTTGTTGCGCTGAGCTGTTTACATCTATGTATACATGCAGATGTGTGCTCTGAGACGGATCACCGGGACAGTGCTTCGCTCTGAGCGAGACGTTGACACTAGTGTACAAAGCAAGTGTGGTCATAGCCCCTCCGGCTTTAGGTTTTTGGTTTTGGTTTTTTGTTTTATTTTGTTTTTTGTTTTTTGTCTTGGTTTGGTTTGGTTTGGTTTTTCAAGACAGGGTTTCTCTGTGTAGCTTTGTGCCTTTCCCGGAACTCGCTTTGTAGACCAGGCTGGCCTCAAACTCACAGAGATCCTCCTGGCTCTGCCTCCCAAGTGCTGGGATTAAAGGCGTGTGCCACCACCGCCCGGCGCTTTAGTTTCTTGGTAGAGAAAATCGAATGCTCAACCCAGTGAACCCAGTGTGGTGGTACAGACCTATAAATCCTATAGTCCGTCCCCTTGGAAGGAAAAGGCAGAAGGCCCAGAAGCTTGAGTTGGAGGCCATCCTGGGATACATGAGACCCTGGCTCAGAAAAGGAAGGAAATGACAGAGGAACTTTGGTTCTGGAGGGTAGTATGTTCTCTCTCTCTATCTCTCTGTCTCTGTCTGTCTGTCTGTCTCTTTTTGTCTAAGGTAGATTTAGATCCTTGACAAATACTGTACTATCAAGAGAGTTTTAAATGTAGCAAATACAAGCCATGGTCAATGTAACTGAATTCATGAAGCAAACTGAGTAACTTATTGAAAGACCTTTGGGTGGCTCTGTGCTTGTCACTGCAGTCATCTTACGGCCGTTAGTGTGAATGTCTCGTTCCCAAACACTGATGAATCGTGAGTTCAGCCGTGTGCAATCCCAGCACTTCCACGGTGAGAGTACAAGGATCGGGTCATCCTTCACTACACAAGGAATTCTAGGCCAGCCTGTGCTAAATTGGACACTGCCTCCCTCTCCCCCACACTTCCAAAATCATTAGTTCAGATAATTTAGGAAAAATTTGGTAAAATAACTAAATTTACAGTATCGTCTTACACACTTGTATGTAGTTGCATATATATATGTATATGTATATATGTATTTAAAATCTAGATTGTTGTTTTTCTCCTTTATTTCACTAAGGTTTTTCTTGATGGCCCTAGGTTTTGAAATCATGCTGTTTGTTTTTAGACTTTTTATTGTGGTAACTTTGGACTTTAATTCACTTCTCCTGTGTTTCAGACTGTGGAAAGAATACATAACTTGATCCTCCTGTCCCCTCATTCTGTTCCCAAGCCAAAGTCAGATGGGAAACGTGTTTAGTTAATTTTCCTTTAATACCTCATAATAGGCAGAAGCCCTAGTTTAAGCATGCTCATGGGGTTATGTTTGGAGCTAGGTAAGAAGTGATTCTGCTTCTGAGGGCGAGAGTACAAGCAGAACACGAGAGTCCTTCCTCTTTAAAAATGCACTTCTTTGTGCCCACTTCTGGCAGCTTTTAATACGCTTTTTGTTTTATTTATAATGAAGGCTGTTGTGGTGACCGATGGAGAGAGGATTCTGGGTCTCGGAGATTTGGGTGTCTATGGAATGGGGATTCCAGTAGGAAAGCTTTGTTTGTATACAGCATGTGCAGGAATACAGCCTGAGAAGTGCCTGCCTGTATGCATCGACGTGGGGACCGATAATAATGTGAGTAGCACCCTCCCCTTGGCCCAGCCTCTCCTATCCTAAACAAACAAACAAACCAACTATAGCCATCTCTGAAGATGATTTGTGAAGGGGAAAATCTTGTCATTTTAGATCTTAATCTTTGTCTTAAACGTGGCTTCTAATGTTTATATAAATAAGAGTGAATCAAGTTTATTAAGTTTCTTTAAGGATTAAAGTTTTATATGTTTAATGTAAATAAATACTGTAATAAAAGACTTTATTTTTATATTCAATTTCTTGTATAGGCACTATTAAAAGATCCATTTTATATGGGCTTGTATCAGAAGCGAGATCGTTCCCAACTCTATGATGACCTGATTGATGAGTTTATGAAGGCGATTACTGACAGGTATCTTGTGAAGCTCATGGTTATGAAGAACCTCTTCTGGGGGCGGGGGGCACCATTCTGCTGTTTTCTTTTATGTCCCGAAAGCATGTGAGGGAAGGGTTAAATTGTGGGAACTTTTTCATGCCCACTGATACGTGCTGGCACAAGATGGTACCTCTGTTGTGCATTGCTGGCTAGGATTACGTGACATCTAGAAGGAAGTCTGCTCTAGCCTCTCCTAGACTCTCACAGTGCATTCCTCCCATAAGCCTTCCGTGGCTGAGCTCATTCCCACCACTCCACCAGAGCGCTCCTGCATCTTTGACGTCTTACCTGGGCTCACTTTGTGGGGTTTACTTGTTTGTTTCTGGAGATGTGTGCAAGTGTGTTTTGGGGCGAATGTGGAGGCCAGAGGCCACCTTTGTAGAATCTGTTCTCTCCATCTACCTTTATGTGGGTTGAACTCGGGATTTTTTGTGGGCTGCTGCCCTGGGAATGGAGTTCAGGGCCTTACACATGCTAGACAAGCACTGTATGACCAAGATGGACTCTCAGTTCTTGCATGTGCAGTAAATTGTGGCCTCCATACATGTGACTCATCAAGCACATGTGTGTGGCCCTGCACTCCAAACTGCTGGGGCATCCCGTCTTGAGAAATTCTATCACTGTATCCTGTTCCTATCTTAGATTGGGTTCTTTCCTTTCCAAACAGCCCGCCTTCTCTATTCCTAACTGCTAATAATGGCAGTAACGTTCACCCCATTGCCAAACCTTTAATCTCGGTGCCATTTGTGACTCTCCTCCACCAGCTGTTCCATCAGCGCCTCCTCAGACTCCGCTGGCACCACCATCTGCATGCCTCATAAGTGTGTCTCTTTTGTTACCACAGCCACCTTTCACCTCCTCTGGATTCCTCTAAGCCCTTCTCCAGCCGGTTTCTCTCTAGTTCATTTCCATCTAACACTGGGATTAATCTTGTAAAAATGTGTATTGCCTTACTTTTTTTTTTTTCTGGAAGTTTCTCAGTGGTTCTCTGTTACCACAGCTTAAAACCCAGATTGTTCATCTTTATGGTCTAGTGTCCCGTCCCTCCCCCCCCCCCCGTGTGTGTACACGCATGTGTACGTGCATATGCATTTATATGTGTGTGAATGCTGGTGCATGTACCACGGCAAGCGTGTGGAGGTCAAAAACCAAGCTCCTGTGTCTATCTTCACCTTCAACCTTAAAACAGGGTTTCTTCATTGTTTTTTTCTACTGCATACTCTCTTGTGTGGCATGCTTTTTTTTTTTTTTTTTGGTTTTTCGAGACAGGGTTTCTCTGTGTAGCTTTGTGCCTTTTCCTGGAACTCACTCTGTAAACCAGGCTGGCCTCGAACTCACAGAGATCCGCCTGGCTCTGCCTCCCAAGTGCTGGGATTAAAGGCGTGCGCCACCACTGCCCGGCTGTGGCATGCTTTTTATGCTGCTGGCTGGTTCACAGGCTTCCAGAGATGCTCCTGCCTCTGCTTTCTGTCTCTCTGTAAGAGTACCGGATTATCTATGCTTACACTGAGTCCAGCGTTTTTGAGGATTTTGGTATTTGAACTCAGGACCTCACACTTACTGGGCAAGCACCTTTACCCACTGAACCATCTTCCACCTCTAGCTCAGCTTCTAAAACTCCCCACGTGGAGACACTCAGACATGAATTCCGTGTACAGGAAAAGACGGTGACTGATTCAGAGCTGAGCTGCTCCTCTTCCCACACACCGCCTCCTCTTTCTCACTCTCCTTCCCTGGACAGCGAGGTGGTGTCCCTTAGAGATCCAGACCGCCTTGGCCCCGGACTGCCCCCCGCTTTCCAGCTTGTTCTGGTATTCCATGGCATCTGCTGCACGTTTCCTGGGTCGTCGTCGTAGACTCCTGGCTGCTGCTCTGTCTTTCCTCTCCCCACACTCGCACGTGCCACACACCTCTGGTGGGTTACCACTGCTAGGAGGAGGCCTCTGTGAATTCTTCCCTCCTCTGTAGCCTTCGGGGATTCAACAGGAGCCAGCTTCCCCCCTGTCTTCAGTGTGAACCCTGAAATATGTAATGCCCTGGCTGTTGAAAATCCGGGGTCACTAGAGTGTACCTTGTTTAACTTTCCTCTTTACGTCTATTATTTGTTTCCCATATGAAGACCCCCGTGAAGCTAGCTCCCTTTCCAGGCTGTTTTGCCTTTCATTGTCTTGGTTTATTTGTTTGAGTCCGTCTCCCTTTGTTTTCTAGACTGGCCTCAAACCTGTGCTCCTCGTGCCTTAGCTCCTCTGGTGCAGGATGCGTGTGCTACCATACCTGCACGGCCTTCCTTCTTACTCCCGTTCACCAGAGTGCACTCACCTGATAGCTCTCTCCTACTGTTTACTTAATGAACCTTTCTGCGTTGTCAGGCATCCATCACTTAACGAGACTCATCCATTTCAAAGGTCTGCTCTCTGAAATGCAGAAAGAATCCCTTTTAGGGGGTCACTTTGTGCCTGTATGCATTGGACACCCTCCTGGGCCCTTGGCAAGCGTTTACACAGAGAATGGCCATAGACACATTTGCGCCTCCGTGTCCATCAAGTAACAGATGTCCACATTTGGGCTCTAGACTTTCACAAGCTCTGAAACTCAAGGCCTTGAGCCAGTATAATACCTTTCTTTCAGATACTCATCATAGAAATAGTAAACAGGAAGTCTGTTTAATAGTGGTGCTTTCAACACGATTATTAAAGACTTTGCTGTTTCTAGATATGGCCGGAACACGCTCATTCAGTTTGAAGACTTCGGGAATCATAATGCATTCAGGTTCTTAAGAAAGTACCAGCAAAAATACTGTACCTTCAATGATGATATCCAAGGTAAAGCAGAAGTGAGAAGATTTTCCCCTAAATTTTAAATGTTTATTATAATGTGTCTTGTCTGTCTCATTGTGAAATCATGGGTTTTCCGACAGGGACAGCTGCAGTTGCTTTGTCGGGCCTTCTTGCGACCCAAAAAGTTATTAAGAAACCAGTCTCAGAACACAAAATCTTATTTCTTGGGGCAGGAGAGGTAAGTTTTTAAAGCTTTTACAGTTTCAGACCAGTACTTTTGTTTTCTTCTATAAAGTAAGACTGACCGGGGTGGCGGCGCATGCCTTGTTTCCATCGCACTCGGGAGGCAGAGGCAGTGAGTTTGGGGCCAGCCTGGTCTACAGAGTGTGTTCCAGGACAGCCCGGGCTGCACAGAGAGACTCTGTCTTAAAAGAAAAAAAAATTAAGTCAGACAGCATGTTGGTGCTTATTGAAGATACAGCGAATTTAGAATTTGCTGAAATGGTGTGAATCTTGATCTCTTATAAAATAGTAAGTACTTTGTGATCAGAGAGACTATGTAATTTGTAAGGGAAAATAAAGCAAATGTGGCCGATAACATGATCCTCACATACAGAGCAATTGAGCATCCTCTCATACTCTAGGCTTGATTTTTACAACTGTGCTTCCTGGACAGGCTGCACTTGGAATTGCAAATCTTATAGTTATGTGTATGGTGGAAAGTGGCCTCTCAGAAGAGGAGGCACGGAGGAAGGTCTGGATGTTCGACAAGAACGGCTTATTAGTTAAGGTAAGGATGCAGAACTTGCAGGAACCACAGAGCATCTGGCTGGGGTGTTGACCGTCTCACCCCTTACAGACGGACATCTCACTCCCTGCCACCGTGTGCAGGAGCTGGCCTCCACTGTGTTGTTGGCAGAGGCCATCGCATCTTTCTGTCTGTCGTGGTTTCGTTTTTGTTGCTGTGATAAAACAGCCCCGACAAAGAGCAGCGTAGGGGAGAGAGGGGCCTTACTTGGCTGCAGTTCCAGGTTATAATCCATTACTGCGGGGAAGCCAAGGCAGAAACTTCAAGTGTCGCAACCGCAATCCAGAGCAGAGAGAATAAATGCATGCATGCTTGCTTCTTGTTGTCTGGCTCCTCTTACTCTGACACTGTCCAGGCCCAGCCCGTGACATGGAGTCATCCACATTAGGGTAGGTTTTCCATCCATCCTCAGGTAAGGCAATCCAGACAGTCCATGCATACACACACCCTCCACACATATCTAACTCCCGCCAGGCATGTCCAAAGACCAACCTGGTCTAGATAATTCTTCATTTAGACTCTTCTCAAGTGATTCTGGGTTGTTGAGTGAAGTTGGCAGTTACAGCTGACCAGTACACTGTCTCCTATAAAGACTCTTCTTCATTCTTAAATCATAATCTGTCTGCTGGGACCGGACTTACTTTCTCTTGCTGTGCTCTCAAGCTCTTTTATTGTATCTGATTGTATTTGACTCTCCTAAACTGAAATTTTTTGTGGTTCTGGGGATTGATCCCAAGGCCTTGTGCATGCCAGGCAAGCATAAGCATTCTATCATTGGTCTACACCCCTAACACTGAAACTAGGTTTTGAGTTGGAACCCAACATTCTGTGTAAACTATTAGCAATACATCTAATATTTGAGCAGAAACTCTTAAATGTTATAATGTCGTTTAAGCCATAATCCCCTGTGTCAGTTCATGTGTAGTAAGGAGCTTTCTTGGGTTATTTTAGCAACTCTGAGCCTGCCTGCCTGCATTCCTTTGCATTGGTTACTGTTTTTAATCGGTTAAAGAATACCATAGGCCTTGTGGGAGTCCCTGAACCTAAGTCCCTGTTCAGTGCACCATCTGTGGGAGGCAGGCTCCCACCTTTTAAAGGGTTCCTATGAGGAGGAGAGAGGAATAAGAAACTTTTGGATAGAAAGATAGCAGAGAGGAGACAGACAGAAACACAGGATAGCTTCTGGAGGACCTGGATCAAAATCCACCGGCCCCTTATGTCTCTTCAAAAGGGCTTTTTATACCAATGCCAAGGGACCTCCCCCTAGCTAGATCAAAGCATACTGTACAGCCAAGTGCAGACACTTCCAGACACCTAGTAACCATGCCTATGGTTCAGTCATCTCCTTATGCAGCCCTCCTGGGAAAAGCAAGCTCATATCCCACCAAGAAACCTCTGTGGGTCTCCACAAGGTCTTACGTTGTGTGACATATTTCATCTATCCGATATGCAGTACTATTTTCTTTTCCCATGTTTGCATCATAATCTCATGACAGGACAGTTCTTGCCCATTTACATGTGTTGGGCATGCTGTCTCCACGTACATTTACATGTATAGGACATGTGCATGGCTCTAGTTCTGGTGCTTTTTCCTTCACTGGTGTCCGTAACCAGATACTGGGGTAACATTGTATGTACTGTTGCCTTTGGTCCTCTCAAATATCCTGTCCTTTTTTGGGGAGAGGATGTTGGTTTTTTGGGTTTTTTTTGTTTTGTTTTGTTTTCCTTATGAAATTTTATAATCACAGCAATAAGTTTAAAATGGCCATAGAGGGCTAGCAGCTAAGAGCACTTGTTGCTTTTGAGAAGACTTTTTTTTAATGATTAAAGACTTTGTTGTTTTCAAAGTCATCAGTTTCAAAGAGATGGAGGCAGAGTAAATAGCTAAGAATGTGATCTGGGTATAAAGCCCAGTCTGGATTACCAAACAGTTCTTACAGAGGTGCTGTAGCTGCAGTGTTTGCTAATCCATGTAGAGTAGAATTGTTGTAAACATCACACGTTTACCGGGAGAGGACTATATTTCTGCAAGTCTACAGTTCAGGGCTTCATGTTGTAGTGCTGGTTTTCATCAAGGGTCCGAGTCTAAAGGGACTGTAGTGTTGGTGGCGACAACAGCTTCTTCCACACAGGCGAGCATCCCTGTTCACCTGTACCTCAAGTGTGTTTTGCTGTTGTTTGGGTTCTGTTTTTTTAGAATATAAAGTTAAAGTAGCTTGGTCTGTGGGTCTTGGACTTTCAGTCTCTTCTAGTGGTTCTAAACCTGTCATCCATTTGGATACGCTGCATGTTCCCTGCTAAATTCCCACTCTCTAGAGCTGTGATGATACCGAGGCAGTGAAGCCAGCACTCTGAGTAGTCTTAACCTTTCTTACTTAGAGCTGCTTGGGCAGGGCTTAAACCATGTAGTGAGTTTGAGACCAGCCAAAGCTAGGCCATTCAAGACCCTGTCTTAAAGGGAGAGTGGAGTTGGGCCGTTTGCCTCCACAGTAGAGCATTTGACTAGTATGTTCAAAGCCCTGGGTTCTATTCCTAGTACCCAAAACAAACTTTTTGGTGTGACTGTTCATAAATTTGGTAGGCTATGTTTTCCCCACTTGGTGGGCAAATTTACAGTATTTGCTATATTGCTATATTACATTTCTAAAATACTAAAGATTCTTCATTGTAAATATTGAATTTAGGAGGACTTCATGGAAGGAATGAGTGTTTGAGAGAGATGCCAAGTTTGTGTTCTAGACATAATTTAATTTGATGGACTGTATTTTTGGATTCTGTGATGTTAAAATTAGAAGATAAATGTTGATGAGAAAAGTAAATAAAAATACACTTGTGTTATAAGGACAACATTTATCTAATTGATTTGTCCAGTTAAATATGCACTTAGTGATACTGTATTTTATGAAAACATTCAGGGAAGGACTGCTAGCATCGATAGTAACCAGGAACCATTTGCTCACTGGGCCCCAGAGAACATACCTGGAACTTTTGAAGATGCAGTGAATGAACTGAAGCCTTCAGTTATAATTGGTAAGTGAAGCTGTTGAGAAATAATCCTGTTACTTAGCTCTCTGCCATAACTCTCATGGAGGATTACTAAAGTAAATTGATGTATTTTACCTTGCTTTTAGCATCTGCAGGTGATCTCAGTGTATGAGGGACTGGAGCCAAGGCCCACTGGACATACCCAAACCTGCCACACCTGTGTCCCCTACGTTCAGAGGTGTAGGACTTGTTCATAACTTGTACACACCCCACTGTATACTTGAGCACACCTGTAGGCGGCTTACACTTAAAGCTGTATTGATAGAAAATGATGCAAAAAGGTCTGCTCAATGTTCAGTATGTACACAGTTTTGTTTCCTTCAGCATTTCCAGCCTACGTTGAAAATGTACATTTATCGAATCTGTGTATACAAAACCCCGCAGATAAAGTGGGCTGACTCAAATAAATATTTTTGGTTACTGTGCATAAAAATTTTATTTATTTTTTTCTGAGACAGGGTTTCACTCTGTAGACCAGGCTAGCCTTGAACTCACAGAGATCTGCCTGCCTCTGCCTCCCAAGTCCTGGGATTAAAGGCGTGCACCACCACCACCCCGGGAATAAAAATTTTAAGAGACAGAATCTCATACTAAATATGGTGGTGCACACTTGTAATCTCAACACTCTGTGGAGACTAAAGCAAGATTAAGAGTTCAAGGCCAGTTTAGACTACTTATTGAAACGTTATCTAAAAATCTGGAAATGGGGCCAGCAAGATGGCTGAGCAGGTAAAGGCTTGCTATACAAACCTGATAGTGTGAGCTGAGCCCCCAGGATCCACATAGTAGGAGAGGAACATCTCCTGCAAGTTGTCCTCTCCACATGTACTCCGTGGCATGGCGCCTCCACACATGCACATGCAGACACTAAATAGATAAGTGTAATTTTAAAATTACATTTGAACTTTCACTGAAAACAAAACCGAAGCTCTTTTACTCTCCTGTGGGCTGGCTTTGAACACCTGGGCTCCAGTGCTTGTCCTGCCTGAGCCTCCCAAGGCGCTGGGACTACATGCCTGGCTCTTTATAGTGTTTGACTTATAGAGTTGTGACTGTTGAATGCAACTTTAAAAGGCCAAGGTCATTTCAAGACTGTCCCGGGAAAATGCAGTGCAGAGTGGGAATGTCATTGGCAGCCAAGCGGAAACTTTGGGTGTGTTTTGTGAGGCCCATGTCGCTGACATCTGTGCTGACGCAGCCCCGAGTTCTCGGCACAGATACAGTGCTGTTCCCTGTATAGCTGTAGATTTGAGTTCTCAATCCTGTGTTTTACTAGCTTTCATTTGGGAACTCTGTTCAGTGTTGAACCGTAAAACCTTCACAATGAGTTCCTGTGCTGAGAAAAGTATGCCTGTTCTTTTTATTGATAAGAACTCTTTATTACTTTTATACTGAGAAGAAATCTTAAAACGTTCTTTACTCCACTTCTTTCAAAACTCAATATGGAAACAAGAATGTATCCACTCATTGTTTAGCTCCAGAGCAGTGGTTCTCAACCTGAGGGTTGTGACCCCTGAAGCTGAAACTATGCCCATTAAATGACTTGGCACTTCCCCAGGCCCTGGCAGCTACTGTCTGATCTCTGAGGGTCTGTTTCTGGTCCCTTGGATGAGTAGACTCTCACAGTACTGTCTCCATGTCCCTGGTTAGAATGGAGGAGTCATGTTTTTTTTACCGCTTTCCCTAGAGCTTACTGTGTGAGCTAGCCAATAAATATTTAAGTGAAAATTTTCGGCATTTCATTGCTTTTCTTTTCATATCTGAAGCTGTGTCCTCATAGTATTCTCCCATCACTACAAAAATCTATCTTTGTAATGACTCCTGTGGTTTCGTTATGGTAAACGTGTTATAAAAACAATTGGCAAGAACCGGTTTGTTATGCCCGTGCTTACTGTTTTTTCCATCCTTTATTGTAGGAGTGGCAGGTGCTGGCCGCCTTTTTACTCCTGGCGTCATCAAAGCCATGGCCTCTATCAATGAAAGACCCATAATATTTGCGCTTAGTAACCCTACGGCACAGGCTGAGTGCACGGCTGAAGAGGCCTACACACTTACGGAGGTATTGTCAGTGAAAACCTCACAGGTTGCTGCCGTGGTCCATCAGCTCAGTAGTCGCACATTAGTGCGCATGTGGTTCATCAGTGTTTAAGTGGCGATGGCCATGGGTCACCAAGTCTAACCCATCATTTCTGAGAGCGGTTACCTCATGACTACCACTCACTCGCCCGCCTGCTGGGCATCTGTGCTTCTCTGGATAGAAACCAAACATGCTTCTTTTTTCTTAATTCTTTTTGTATGGAAACTATCCATTTTGATTTGCCTACATTTAAGGTTTTTGTTTTTCATCCTATAACCATCCTTCCTGCCCGTCTGCTTCTATCTGGGACAATCCTCCCAGAAGAACCTCAGTGTGGGTCTGAGGAAGTCTTTTGGTAGTGTATTTCGCCTTCATTTTGAAGGGCATTTTCACCCCACATGGAGTTAACAGTTGCTGTATTTCAGTGCTTTAAGAACAGTTTTTTCTGTTTCTGTTGTTTCTGAATTGTGTCTTGACGTCATGGCTCCGGGTTTTCAGCACGGACTTGGGTGTGGTTTTCTTTGTGTTAATTCTCGCCGGAGACAGAGTGCTCCCGAGTCCACGGCTTGGTGGCTGGCAGTTGAGTGTCATTTCTGTTTTGGAAACACAGGGCTGGTGTCTCTGCTGTGCCACATTGTCTCTTGTGAGACTGTTTGCGCAGTGGGTACTGTGGCCGTGTCTAGACTGTTTGGGTTGTGTGCCGCCCACTGTGACTGGCCTGGCCCCTTCCGCTTTGCGGTCCCTTCCCTCTGTGTCAGTCTGTCCTTAGGGTCTTGGTGCCAGTTCTTACATAGTTTTCACTTGTAGAAATTCTGCTCTTTTTCTTTTTCTTTTTGATTTTTTTTGTTGTTGTTGTTTGGTTTTTTTGGAGACAGGGTTTCTCTGTGAAACAGTCCTGGCTGTCCTGGAACTCACTCTGTAGACCAGGCTGGCCTCGAACTCACAAAGATCCGCCTGGCTCTGCCTACGGAGTGCTGGGATTAAAGGCGTGAGCCACCACCGCCTGGCTCTCATTTTCTTACTTTATAAACGACACCTTTACTCCTTTCAGACGCCCTTCGCTGTCCGCTTTTGCCTGCACTGGGGCTGGCTTTTGCTCTGCTGTGAACTGAGGCTGTCTGGACGGGACTTCTTACTTTGACCCAGACGGTTAGCGAGTCGGTGCTTTGGGCCTTGGACACTGTTGCTGTACTGCATGTCAGTTACAGACAGGAGCGTATGTGTATACCGTGTATGCACATATGTGTGTAGTGGGGGTTCCCTTGTGTTCTGTGTTTTAATCTCCACCGCGTAATCACTTCTTCCGTTTTTGTAGATGGTCAAAGTGACTCTAGGAAGTGGAGCTTTCTTTTTCTTTTCTTTTCTTTCCTTTCTTTTTTTTATCCTGTGTAATAAACCTATAGCCTTGTAGATATGCACATTTAGGCCACCAAGCTACCACTAAGATGTATTCCTTGGATATGAATTTTACAGTTCTGTTTACCATGATATGCCTAATTTCTACTTAATTTCTTCAATATATGAATATTCACGAATATAATTGTTAGGTTATACTTTTTTGTCTTTTTTTTTTTTTTTTTTTTTTTGGTTTTTTTTGAGACAGGCTTTCTCAGTGTAGCTCTGGCTGTCATGGAATTCTGTCTGTAGACCTTTCTGGCCTTGAACTCACAGACTCTGCCTGTCTCTGCCTCCTGAGTGCTGAGATTAAAGGCATGTGTACCACCACCTCCTGGCTTGGTTATACGCTCATAAATAAAGAATGTAATAATAAGTCTTTATTATTCTCATTGCTAACAACTCACTGGTGGTTTTGTTTTTTTCATATCTCCCCAGATGATTTTAAAGATCTTAGATATCATCTGTAAACACTGTATCTCTCAGAAGTTGAGTCTTTTAAAAATAATGATATGGGTGCTGGTAAGGTCACTCAGTGGGTAAAGGCTTCGCCACTGGCCCTGACAACCCGAGTTCAGTTCCCAGAATCCATGTGGTCGAAGGAGAGAACTGACTCCCACAGGTTGTCCTCTGACCTCTACCTGTGTGCCTTGGCAGGAACTTGCACACACACCCCTCCAGGAAACAAATAAATAAATGGTCAAGATCATCAGTAGGACTGTACCATCTCTAAAATTTAAAAACATGCTATTTTGTGTTTATATGTGTGGGCAGACTCATGCCACATCATGTGTGTGTTGGTCAGAGGACAATTTGGTGGCCAGTGCCAGCGTTCACTGTCGCGTGGGTCCTGAGGATAAAAGTGGAGGAGTCAGGCGGGCGGCCCTCCCGTTCACCCTCTGAGCTGTGTCATCTCATGGCCTCAGGTGTCATTTTAATACTTACTTGTCCTCTGGCATACCTTTCAGCTTTCTACTGAATCTTTTCCCGTTGTGGATTTTTGGGGTTTTTTATTGTTGTTGTTGTAGTTGTTGCAGACTCTCACTGTGTAGCTCAGGTTGAAACTTAGTGTCCTGCTCCAGCCTCCCAGGTGCCCAGATCAGAGGACTGCACAGCTGCATCTCACTGTTGAAATTTTCTGTCTTTTCATTTCCTGAATACAGAAATTATAGTTAAAGTTTCTGGTTGTAACAAAATTTCCCTTTCTGGAAATCCATTTTATTACCCCCCATCCCCCACCCCACCCTACCTCTGTCATTAATTTGTAATTCTCTGGTAAGCTTAGCCGTTTGTCTGAATGCTGGGTAGCGTGGATGGCAGGTTTCACAGTTACTTGAGGCTTGGGGCCTTTACCTCTTTAGGGGTTGATAGGCCGGGCTCTGTGGCTCTAATCCATTTGGCACACAGTCAGGTAAAGGCTAGGCTTCCATCCCTTCCTCGCTCCTTCCTGCTGGGCAGCCCGAGGTATTTACTGAGAACCTTTATCCTTGTGTTCCTGAGCTGCTGTTTGCCTGTGTTTCCGGAGCCTCCCCAGAGCTGCTCAGGGTCTCAGCCGCAGGCTGCTGTGGAGATCAGCAGTCACCTTGAAGGGAAACACTTGGAATGCTGGAAACAATGGGTCTCAGAGCCTTCTTTCTCTAGTCTCCTGGCACCAAACCCTGATTGCTGTGGTTCCTCTCTGCTTCTTTTAAAACTCTGTAGGATGTACTTCTTAGTGTCACTCCACAGTAACCAGAGGGGACGTGAGCATAAAACAGCCTGGAATGTCACTGCCAGAGCAGAACTTGGAGAATTTGTTCGGTCGCAGTTTCATGTTGCAGATGGACTTAGCATTCTCTTTTCTCGTTGTTAGAGTGTTTATTCTCTCAGCTCCTTCTGCCGCTGCCACTACTCTGTCAGAAAAATAAATTCTTGTGACTATTATTAAATCTATAATACCGCCGGGCGGTGGTGGCGCACGCCTTTAATCCCAGCACTCGGGAGGCAGAGCCAGGCGGATCTCTGTGAGTTCGAGGCCAGCCTGGGCTACCAAGTGAGTTCCAGGAGAGGCGCAAAGCTACACAGAGAAACCCTGTCTCGAAAAACCAAAAAAAAAAAAAAAAAAAAAAAAAAAAATCTATAATACCAGTTGAAATCCTTACTTTTCAAATCAGTCACAAATCAGCATAAAAGAGTTTTTTTAAACTGATCTCCTCCTCTTTTCTGCCCTCCATAAACAGCAGTCACACACACGGCGCACAGACATCCATGCAGGCAAAACCCATACACATAAAATTTTACATTTTTTAAAAAAATGTATTCTCTTTAGTCGTAAGCTCTTACCAAAATACAGTATTTTTTTTTTATTTTTTTTTTATTTTTTTTTTAAGATTTATTTATTTATTATGTATACACTGTTCCATCTGCACATACCCCTGCAGGCCAGAAGAGGGCACCAGATTTCATTACAGGTGGTTGTAAGCCACCATGTGGTTGCTGGGAATTGAACTCAGGACCTTTGGAAGAGCAAGCAGTGCTCTTAACCTCTGAGCCATCTCTCCAGCCCCCAAAATACAGTATTATCGTTAGCTTGATTGCTTATCGTTAGCTTGATTGCTTATCCTATCTATCAGTTTTGGATAAAATTGATGACTGTTATTCCCCAAATTAAGCCATTCTCTTGCATAATAAACATTAGGCTCAGATCTAATATATCAGTAGCTCTGACATTTTCAAAATAAAGAAACATATAACATTATATATGTGTGTCTACATATATATAGTGTTTTACAAAGTTCTAAATCAATAAAAGACTGTTCAGATATTTGAGAATTTTATTTTTGAACAGTATTGTTGAACTTAATACACATTTTTGGAAAGAACCAAAATTCTCCAAAGAGAATAGTTTGATAAACTGTAAACAATCAGTTCAATGATGCAGCTTTTAGGCCAGGGAGACGATTTACCTGGTAAGGGCAGTTATCACCAAGACCAGTGTTCTGAGTTCAGTCCGTGTATTCCACATGGACGGAGAGAACAAACTACCACAAGTCATCTGTTTACCTTACCATATAAATGGGCACACACCACACAAGTGTGAGAGACTTGAGATTCTCTTCCCAGAGTAAAAAGCATGGAACCATTGAATCGGAGTTCATATAAATTCTTTCTCACTGTTACACAAAACAATGGTGTTAAGTTTTGTATTTGCCTCTTGAGTTTTTAGTGCTCCTCTTTTTAGGGGAGAAATGACTTTTGTATTTGCCCCATAAATTTTTAGTGCTCCTCTTTTTAGGGGAGAAATGACTTGTTGCTCTAACACCCTTTGCTGCTCAGCAAGAAGAATACTCCCTTTTCTGTTGTGAGATGAGGTTTCAGTGTTGTCTGGGCTGACCTAGAACCTAGTTATCTTCCTGTCTGCCTCCTAAGCAATTGGGATTACAGGAGGAAATTGTTGGAACAGTGTCTTCATGTTTTAATAGCCAGTTAAAACTAGACTGCTGCTGTCGTGAAATCTGACCATGTTACACTCTGCATGAGGACCATCTAATAACTGTAGAATAAGTGGAAATTACTTAACGTGTGGAATTGTACATGTGAGATACTTTCCTGGCCATTAGCATAGTTAGCTTGCTCCCACACCTAAACTTCGTATCATTTTGAAATTAAATTTTGAATTTGCACTATATTGAAATTACTAAAGTAACACAATGTAAGGTAGCCCTTCATTTACTATAAAAACTATTAGTATTAGGGCTTGGGAACATAGCTCAGTTGGTACAATTTTACCTAACGTGCACAAAGCCACTGTTAGATCCCCAGTATTGCATAAACCAGGTGTTGTGATACATACCTGTAATCCTAACACTCTAGAGATGGAGGCAGCCGTTGGATGTTCTAGTAAGTGGCAGTTTGTCTTTCCATTTCAGTAAGTTTCCTGTGAATCTTTTGTTTTTGTTTTTCAAGACAGGGTTTCTATGTGTAACAGCCCTGGCTGTCCTGGAACTAGCTTTGTAGACCAGGCTAGCCTCGAGCTCACAGAGATCTGCCTGCCTCTGCATGCACCACCACCACCTGGCTTCTGTCAGTCATTCTTTAATCTAACTAAATTGGGTATTTAAACATGATTTAACGTTAGCTATTCTTGAACATTGAAGATAGGTTGCCCTGTTGGAGTGCTATTGTGTGCCTTTGTTCTTTGAATTTGGTGGGGCAAGGTAATAATGTAAACAGTATTTTATGAATGAAATGTCTAGCCCCTTCGATCATAAGGGTGTCCAGTTTATTTTGGAAATACAGACAGTTCCACTAGCATCTCATCTCTATAGACATAGTACTAAAACTGGACAAAGAAGAGATATGTGGAGACCTACCTTTCCTTAACAGGGCAGCATGCAAGCTTGTTGTGTACCAGTAGTGTCATTATATCACACGCCCATATTTTAAACCTGGGGGGGGCGGGCGTATCATGGTATCATAGAAAAAAACATTGGATTTAGAGTTATAAAAATTTGGATTCAAATTTAACTGCTACAAATTTTAGACAGTATTTACAAAGTTCTTGGAAATGTCCTGTCCTTAGTTCTGCTGTACTTGTTGGTTCTTTTAATCAATGAATGGAAGGTGGTAACAAGCAAGCAGGGCCTTCAGGAAAGGTGAATGAACTGAGTGGCACACAGAGCGCCCAGCACAGAGCTAGTGGAACAGACGGACCATGAGTGGTAGGAAGTTAATTTTGCTATTTCCCGCTTCATTTATGAGGTTCACATCAGTCTTTATTATTTGAGGTGCTATTTATTAACCAGTGTTAATTTTATAAAGGAAGTAGAGTGTTAGGGTTTAAAGAGTTAAATGGATATTTTTCAATTTCATTTGCCTATGTACTATGCACAAAACAAGCTTTATTCTAATAAAAGGATTTAGATTAAAGGACTACGTTCTGTAGTAAATGATTTCTTGTTTCTAGGTAATTTAGTAGTCTAACTTAACCGTAAGACTTACTCTTTTATGAATTTCCCTGAGTAAGTGGCCAGAAAAATTGAGATGATTTCATCTTAACAGGGCAGGTGTCTGTTTGCCAGTGGCAGCCCATTTGAGCCAGTGAAACTCCAGGATGGACGAGTCTTCACCCCAGGCCAAGGAAACAATGCGTATATCTTTCCAGGTAAATGCCATCGTGACTGATGTTATAGATCTGTCGTTAATTGCATAAAATTGTTTCAGCACCAGCTGCTCTTCCAGAGAACCCTGGTTCGGTTCCCAGCACCCACATGGAGGCTCGCAGTTGTTTGTAACTCCAGTTCCAGGGGCTCTGGTGGCCTTGCCTGGCTTTTGCCAACTCTGTGTGAAAAAAGTGCAGAGACATACATGCAGACAAAATAGCCAGACACATAAAATAATAATTTTTTTTAAAAAAATTGCATGGAATTTTTCAAATTTAAAGTTGACATAACCAGTAGTATTTACAGAAGTGTGATATTTTACAGGGAAACAAGGAATTCAGTAATTCTAATTTGCTCTGTTTTCTTTGAAAGTCTATTCATTCTGTTAGACTGTATTATAGCGATAATGTAGTACCTGTGTCATGAAAGTACAGAGGAACAGAAGGTTAGGGTTGTTCAGCTCTCTTGGTACTTTTCATCACACTCTCTGATGTAACTGCTTTCGGGTTTTGCCCTTTTCCTGGTGGATACAGTCCGTGGGTGTATCCCTCTGGCATGGTTCTTCTAACTTGTCTGTAGATGTGAACTTCCTGCTGTGAGCCATCAACAATACTGCACACATCCCTTCCACTGTTTGCCGTTCCTGCTGCCCACCGGGGGTGTCTTGCCTGTTCTCCTGAGTTACCTTTACCTTACACAGCAAAGCGCTTCATTAGAAGTTTACATTTGTGTGTCTGTGGTGTATACGCACACGTGTGTATGAGTGTGTGTCTATAGTGTACGTGCACGTGCAGAGGCCAAAGGATGGATCGGTGTCCTTTACTGGTCTCTTTGCCTTATCCCTTTGAGGTGTGGTCTCTTCTGAACCTGGAGTTCATGTTCTTTCAGCTAGACTGGCAGCCAGCAAACCCCAGCATTCCTGTCTCCATGCCTACAAACCAGTGCTGTGGTTATAAGCACATAAAAGACCAGGCTGGCTTTTTATGTGGGGGCTGGGATCCAACCTCAGGTCCTCATGCTTGTACACCAAGCCCTCTGAACCATGGAGCTGTCTCTCCAGAGATCATTGTCAGCTTGCCAATGGAGAAGGACAAAATTCCAGTGTTTAGCTTTTACCTTACCCCACCTCCGGGTTGGTTAGTTTCTAGTCTACATTGTGGAGAGTTTTTCAGCAAGTGTGCGGTGTTTTGTTGATTTGTCTGGATTGACTTGAGTATTCCGAAATATTATTTTAAAAAAATCGTGATTACATAAGTAGTATTCACCAACTAGATTGTGATTTGTTAACTATAGAACTTGTTGTCACTGTGTTTTTCTGCAAATATCAAGCATGATGCCCCTTTCCATTTCACTTCACTCTTGATTTCTGCAGCAAATCGTCTCGGACCTCATCTTCTGCACAGGGGTGCTGTCCCACTCTATCCTGTGTTTCTAGAATATAGCTTTTGTTTTGTTCTAAGTTGTTTGTTTGTTTGTTTTGAGACAGGGTTTCTCTGTGTAGCCTTGGCTGTCCTTGGACAGCTGTAGACCAGCCTGGCCTCGATCTCAGAGATCTTCCTGCCTCTGCCTCCGGAGTGCTGCGATTAAAGGTGTGTGCCACCACTTTCCGGCTTAGAATATATATTTGAATAAGCCTTTGAAACAGGAAAGGTGCAAAGCTACACAGAAAAACCCTGTCTCGAGAAAGCCAAGATATATACTTTTTTTTTTTTTAAAGATTTATTTATTTATTATGTATACAGTGTCCTGCCTGCATGTATGCCTGCAGGCCAGAAGAGGGCACAAGATCTCATTACAGATGGTTGTGAGCCACCATATGGTTGCTGGGAATTGAACTCAGGACCTCTGGAAGAGCAGCCAGTGCTCTTAACCTCTGAGCCATCTCTCCAGCCCCGATATATACTTCTAAAGAGTATGTTGTGGGGGGGGCATCCCCCCACCCTACTTTCCCCAAGGTACTCTTGTGCAGGAACAGCAGGAAAAATTAGATAGAAAGATAGCTGGGGAGAGAGAGAGACAGAGACAGAGACAGAGACAGAAACACAGGATAGCCTCAGGAGGGCCTGGATCCTAATCCATTAAGCCCTGACTGTCTCTACCAGAGGGTTTTTAAAGGAATGCCAAGGGGTGGAACAAAAGACACACACACACACACACACACACACACACACACACAGAGCCAAGTGCAGACTTTCTCAGACAACTGGTAACCATGCACGTGGTCCAGCCATCCCCTAATGCAGCCCTGCTGTGTAAAGCAAGCTCAGCTCTAACTTGGAAACCTTTGTGGGCTCCCACAGTATGTAAAGGCAAGTGTGTTCATACAGGCTCATGATCCTAGCACTTGGAAGTTGAGGCAGGAGAATTACCATGGGTTTGAGGCCTATCTGGGCCACCTAGCAAGTAAAGGCCAGCCCAGACTGCATAGTAAGACCCACTCTCTAGAAAAACAAAACCTATGAAAATGTTGTACGTTTGCTAATCTCACATATCTTTGTTTTGTCCTCTCACTGGATTATTTGAGCGAGATCTGTCATTGTCCTCAGGCCTTTGAGGCCTCTCCTTCACTCACTTCTGTTAGGCCCATGGTGGGAATGGGAAATCTGTAGTCAGGACAGGCTCCATTCATTTACATAATACAATGTTTTTCTCTCTCACAATATTTGCAGTTTTCCCTTACAATTGATGGTTTTACCGGGATGTGTCTGGGGGTGGGATTGTTTCCATTTGTCTTGCACATCTGTGGGTGAGCAACATCACTATAAAAACAAATGTTTACGTATGAATTTTTATTTACTTTTTTTCTCATTTCCCTTTTTATTTCATCTTTTTCTACATGGAGCTTAATGTTTGATCATGGTTGAATCTCTGTATTGTAGCTGACTTCTAAATCTCATTTTTACTTCCTCTTTATGTCTTGTAACATGGGAGGCTGCTGTGGTACTCACGCAGCTTGTGTCTGTTCTGGGTTTTAGCACGTTTAGTGTATTTCCTAAGTTTCTTTAAAGATAGCTTACAATTTCATTCCTGGTAACTTCAGTATGTATCCGAAAACTAAGTGGGCCCTCCCTTCTCAGCCTTTGGCTAAGACAGTGAAGAGAAATCAGACACTTCATTTTTTCATTGTGACCGCTGTACTGGTATCTGAATATAAGAGAAGTCTGTAGTTGCTTAGCAGCATGTTTATCAGTTCGTGGGATTTAACAGTTTCTTATTCCCAATACCTTATTCTAGAATTGCGTTTTTCATTTCTTTTTTATTTTTACAGTTAAGGATTTTTTTTCCTCTGTCATTGGAAATATTTCTTCCTTTGTGTTTATTTCCATAAATTTCTGTTGATCTTCAGTTGCCTTTTTATTTTTTTACTTTTTGCAATACTAAGGGTTGAACCCAGAACCTCATGCAAAATAGACTCGTGCTCTACCATTGAGCGACATCCCAGCCCATTTAGAAAGACAGTATTGAGCAAAATGGGGATCTGGCATGAGTGCCTTTGTCACATGTTTCTTCTTCCCCCCTTGAGTCTTCCCTAAAGAGCTGACAGCAGGCTCTGGCTAAGTTGTCAGTAATGCATGGCACCAGCAGGCTCATTATTACCACTGTCAACGTAAACAAGGTGTTTATTTAACCTGTGATCACCTAGTGTCTTTGTTTTGTAATGCCCCCTTTACTCTTCATGTTGTTGTGGTTGTTTCTTGAGACCTAGCATCTGTAAAGACACTCCTCTACCATCAATGATTTCTCTCTAGCATTTGGTAATATTTTAAATTGTCCTATTCTATCCAGCAGTATTTCTGTAGTGTAAAAATTTGAGAGCCAAAAAGAGAATACTTTGCTGACTTTGACAAAGCAATTTTTAAATTTGTATTTGACTTTTTTAAAGATTTATTTAGTTTTTTTACTTTACGTATATGAGTATTTTGCCTGCATGTATGTGTATGCAACATGTGTGCCTGGTGCTCGTGGAGGTCAGAAGAACGCATCAGATATCCTGGGTGGGTGCTGGAAATCAAACTCAGGTTCTCTGCTAGAGCAGCTAGTGCTCTTGACCAATGGCCATCTCTCTAGCCCTTATATTTTACTCTTAAGAACTTTGGCAATTGATTCTTTACATATATAGCATTTTAAAGCCTTGGCTTTATGAGTGAAAGCTATTAGCCCTATGAAGAGACAAGATGGAAGTCAAAACAGACCCACCAGTGGGAGATTGTCTGAAAGTCTTATAAAAAGAAATTTAAAACTCAAAGGCTGTGATATGTCAGAACTACCAGTCCTACCACTCTAACAATGGGTAAGATTTAAAATTCAAAGCTGAGTATAATGGTCCAAGCTCGTAGTTTCAGTAGTTGAAAGACTAGGGCAGGAGAAGTGTGAGTTCAGAGCCATCATGGGCTACATATTTAGAAAAGATTAGAGGGCCTGGAGAAAGTACTTGCTGCTTTTGCAGAGGGCCTAGGTTCAGTCCCAGCATCCATGTGGCATCACATAACCATCTGTAACTCCAGTTCCATGGGATTCAATGCCCTCTTCTGGCCTCTGCGGGCATCAGGCACATACATGATGCACATACACACATTCACACATGCAGGCAAAATACTCATAAAAGTAAGTAAAGATGTACAGATAAATAGACAGCCTTCAGGCCGGGCGGTGGTGGTGCACGCCTTTAATCCCAGCACTCGGGAGGCAGAGCCAGGCGGATCTCTGTGAGTTCGAGGCCAGCCTGGGCTACCAAGTGAGTTCCAGGAAAGGCGCAAAGCTACACAGAGAAACCCTGTCTCGAAAAAATCAAAAAAAAAAAAAAAAAAAAAATAGACAGCCTTCAAAGATCAAAAGGTGTAGGCAGAGTTTTCTCATCCCAGCAGCTGCTTCCAAATTACCACACAGAGGCTTATATTAATTGTAAATGCTCTGTTGATAGCTCAGGCTTGTTACTAGCTAACTCTTACATTTAAATTAGCCCATATTTCTAGTTATGCTTTGCCATGTGGCTCATGGCTTGTTACCTCATTTTCTGCACCTCATTTGTGCATCCTGCTTGTTCAGTGGCTAGTTAGCATCTCTCGACTTTCTTGACTCTGTCCTTCCTCCTCCCGTAATTCTCTCTTGCCCTGCTATCGACCAGTCATTTTTTTTTTAACCATGAGTATAGTCCACAGCAAGAAGCCAGTAGCATATTGATTGATAAGACATGGGATTCTGGGTCAAGATCAATGAGTAGAGAGCTTGGTGAGGTGGCCAGGGTTTGTAGCCTCCCCCCCACACTCTAAAAACACTCACTAATCAGGAAATAAACAACCAAGGGGTAAGTTGTGTTTGTCCTTCAGTGTTGTTTTGACTTCAGCACAATGGCTACTCCAAAATCTGCAGCTATTTCAGCCAGCAGTTGCAACTCCACAGTTACTGACCTGCTTCTCTGGCAGCAGCCAGCGGGACTTCTGTTCCTGGGCACCAGCTCTGTCGCTGCCACTAAAGGTAGCTTTCACTAAATCTCTGTGGTTCTATTTATAAATCAGACTGGAGATTCAAAGGCTGGGGTGAAAACCTGGGAGCTCAGAGAGGATGAGTAGCAACCAGCTAACCCTCTCTCCTTGCTGGTGTCTCCAAAAGACCCGTGCTTCCTTGCCAAACCAGAAAAGGCTGCACCGCTTCACCAAACCAGAGAAGACTGTGCCACATCAGATCCCTCCCTGCTACTTCCTGTGTCTCTCTGGTGCTCTACGATTACTTCCTGTCAACTAGTTGCTAACTCAGCCACTTGACCCAAGGTTGATTTTATTTAATGAATGCAAATACAAACTTGGGTTCACAGTGTAATCAAATATCCCCCAACACTAGAGGAAGGACAGTGTTGACGAATTGTCCAGGTATGACTCCCCGGCTTATGAATGGCCACCCGCACTGGGCTGAAACCCTACAGGACTACACCTGGGAGTGGATTGTGGTTTATAGCTGTGGGTGGTCTGGAAAACTCCAGCCTTTGCTCTGGACTGCCAGTGCCTGGCAAAAGCAACCCGAAGTCTCTGAAAACACACCAGTCCTCAAGTTGTTTTTCTAAAGAAACATACAAATGCAACTCTTGTTTGGAGGGGGAAAGGAGACGTGTGCAAATACCTGACAACACCAGCAGACACCACAGGACAAGAAGACATGTTCAGGTCTACACACAAGATAAGTGCCATAACACAAACATGATTATTTTATAGCAATAAAAGCGAAGCTTCGGAACGTTGGTCAAAATCATTAACTTCTAGAATTGAGTAACAGCAATGATCTAACGGGTGGGTGAAGAGTAGACCAAAGCAGGTGACTGGAGGGCACTGCAGAAGAAACTGTAAGTGAAGCAGAGTCTAAAGGGAACTTATGGAGAAGCAAGGGAGAAATCGACCTTTAATTGTCATTAAGTCCCGGAAGACAGTGGGAGTGGGAATGAAGCAGAGGCAGCCGTGTGGGCCGCGTGGCCAGGAATGCCTTCCAGTGTAGCTCAGGAAAACCTGTGGGGTAGACAGGAAGTCCCTATCTAAGACTCTCACTGTGAGGCTTCAGAAAGTCCCAAGAAAGAGAAGTCATGACAGCAGAAGGTGCAGCTGTGGGAACAACATCTTATTTCTCAGTATCGCTGCGGGCTAAGAGGCAATGGAGTGATCGGTTCTTGTTGCTTCTTGGAAATACTTGCCAACTAGAATTCATTACACAGAGACAGTATCTCACAAGAATTGGGGCAAAATGGAGACATTTCAGAGATACCGAGAACTCACTGCCTACATATTTGTATGAAATGAAAGGACAGGAAGTCTTGTTCCTTAGGCCAGTGGAAAACAGTCCCAGAAGCTCAGGGATGTAGGAGGGAATGGAGAGCAAATCATGTTGTAGATGTGCAGTTAAAGCAAACTTGTATAGACAGCAAAACAGTGATGTGGTATTTCAAAAAAATGTATCGAGACAAAATGCACAACAATGCATTCTCGGTTAAATAGACTTGACCTGTTAGCAGGGGTTTGCCTTGTCTGGCAGGAAGATAAACTTTAAACTAATGGAAATTTTTAGTGAGGATACATGTTATAAACTTGAGGATGATCACTAGAATACTAGAAAAACTTATCATTTCCGGTCAGGGAATATTGAGGGATAAAATGCAACAATTAAAAAAAAAGCAAGAAGGGGAAAAAAGGGATCATAGACTGGACAAGACAAATATAAGAGCAAACACTAGCTGTAGCCTTCAGCACTTAAGTGTCTGCACTAAAGTGAGCTAGCCCACTAACAGAGGGAAGAGGGAGAGGAGGGTGTTAAACTTTGGGGCTGGAGAAATGGTCAGCAATTGAGAGCACTGACTGCTCTTCCAGCATGTCATGTAAGAAAAGTCTCTCATTAAAAAAAAAATTAAAAAATGGTTGATATCATAAGAGGCCAAAGCAGTGTTTAAACAAAAACGGACATAAGTTGAGGGAGCCACTTCAAAATAGAGTTTGGGGCAGGAGATAGCACATGAATAAAGTTAGGTGTCAGCTCCAGAAGTACAAGTTCAGAAAATAGAAATTTCAGGACAAAGGAGAAAAATAAAGAAAGTGGTGGGGGGTGGGGGTGGAGGGCGACATCAGAGACAAACATTTCTCCAAGTGGAAAGGCTCGGGTTCAGAGAGGGGCTCACCGTGGAGTTCCAGACACGTGGGTTTGAGAACATATCCAAGACACAGTCATAAGATCAGAATCAAAGATCTCCGTGCTTCCAGAGATGAAAAGACAGTGCCCGAAGCTGGAAGCCAGGAGATGCCGAGCTATTTTCAAACGTAAATTCTAAGTCCAGAAGAGTGGAAATAGGTGAGCACATGTTTTCAGAAATTCTGTTCCAAAAATTAAAAATGCATTCCCATCAGCTGTTCTCAGAACATTGCGGGGAAAATCTTTCCTGCTAGAAAGAGAGGGTAACAAAAGACTAGGAAAGGGAGTTTAGTAAATGGACTCAAAGAAGCACAGACCCTAAATGATGGGGTGGAGAATCAGCTGAGCGAAGAGAGCTGCCCCAAAGGTTTATGCCAGAAAATACACAGGGTGCCAAAATACAAGAAGATCGGGCAATTAAAGACGAGTTCTGAGATGAAATAATGTTAATTAATAAAGATGACAGTAAAGGGGGAAACAGAACAGTAAACTCGGGGAAAAGAAAATGTATACAGAAGGGGACATGGTCCCCGCACAGCGTTAACACAGCCTGGACTGAGCAGCACTTAGAAAGCCATACTGTAAACCGTGCATGTAAACTGGACCCCAGTTCTGTTTTTGTCCATATTGGGAAGAGAGAGAAGCCGGGAAACAGCAAGAGGGCAGGATGCTTGTGTTCAGCCAGGAGGAATCAGGTCTCTAAAGCTCAAAACTGAAAGAAATTAAAGTATCAGAGACTCAGAAAGAGTGAACTCATCAGCTGGAGGGCTGACAGGAGCTGCTGCTGGGAAGTCGGGCCCAAGGTGGCTTGGGCCTGCTTTGTTGTCTCTTCCCTTAGAGGTTGGTGAATGCGCGTTTGTGTGTGGCTGTGGGTGTTTCTTTGTGTGTGTGTGTGTGTGTGTGTGTGTGTGTGTGTGTGTGTGTGTGTGTGTGTGTGTCTGTCTGTCTGTTTCTCTGTCTCCCTTCCTCTTGTTCTTTGGCACTGGGAGTTGAAGCAGGCCCTGACACAAACCCCTGAGTACTCACTGTGTTTATAAAGGTAAAACAGTTGAGAAAGCCACTTACTTCTAAAATGATTTTGTTAATGAATGAGAAGCAGACATTGACGAGATCGTTCGCTTTCACTTTGGTTTGGTTTTGCTTTCTCTGGGGCTGTTTGGGCCGGGAGTTTATTACTGTGTATTTCTTTTTCTCAGTTTAGGAATTCAGCCTGTCATAATTTGAAAAGTGACCTTATTAAATAAATAAGCTGTGTAATGTGTATTCTAGGTGTGGCTTTAGCTGTTATTCTCTGTCAAACCCGGCACATCAGTGACAGTGTTTTCTTGGAAGCTGCAAAGGTAATGTTTTAAATATTGCTGATTGTATAAAGTATGGATTATAGAGGTGAATTGATCTTAAAACCAGAGTAGGTTAACCATCCTTATAGATGAAAAGGAAGTTAGCAGTCCATTTCTTTTTTAATTTGTCTACTTTTGTATTATGTCAATTTTTTAAAATCATAACTTTTTCAAATGCCTGATTATAAGTTGTGAATAGTTCATATTTCTAACACTTGTACCTATGTCTCGTGTGTGTATATATGAAGGTGACATGGCATTCATGCCCTATCCTGGGTGTCAAGTGACCTGTCATGTGAAGGTAACACTATGACAGCATAGACGGTGATAACGGTAGAAGATAAAATATAACTCCTTCCATATTCGTAGTGGAACACCACACTCTCAGTAGGAATTCTGAAGAAGTCACATTAACTCTAGTGCTGATGTGTATTTCCTTCTGTGATGTTGGTATGTGTGAAGCAGAACATGCCATTAAGTCTTTAGATCTGGTTATTGATTTATTGCTGAACAGTGAGCAGTGTTGTTTGGGTTCTGTTGTGTTTTGGTGGGGCTTTTTGATTTTATTTTTTTAGACAGACCGTCATCGTGTAGTGTCACAGTGTAGACAAGGCTGGCCTCAAACTCACAGGCTCACCTGCTTCTGCTTCTGGGTGTTAGGATTAAAGGTGTGTCCCACCATGCCCAGCCTTGATGGCAGTTTTAATTTCTATATTGGTTTAGCGTAGTCCTATAAGAAATAAAAATTCTGCTGTCTATACTTTTTTCTTTCTCCAATGCTTTCTTCATTTTACTAGATTCTTCTGTTGAAACAAAAACATGATGCTGGTTTTCCTTTCAGGCCCTGACAAGTCAATTGACAGATGAAGAGTTAGCCCAAGGGAGGCTTTACCCATCACTTGCTAATATTCAGGAAGTTTCTGTTAACATAGCTATTAAAGTAAGTAATTTGTGCCATCTTACATGAACTCTAATGACTTTTTCTTGTCCTAGTAATACAAGTGCATTAGAAATAAGTTATATTTAGAAGGAAATTTTATGTGATACATGTTCTGATGGTTTTGTTTAAGAAGGGAGTGACGTAGTCCAGGCTACTATGTCCAATATGACCCAGTGAAGGAGATGTGCTCTGCGTTACCATAGGATTGTGAACCTAGGCTCGGTGCACCCCTAGCCCGGGGAAGGGAGGGAATCTGCTGCCGCTTGCTTCAGAGTCTAGCTTTCCTTTTGAAGACAAAAGCTCAGGAAAATGTGCATGTCTTTGGAGCCACAGGAGCCTGCAACCCCTGACCACCTCTTTATAACACGGCGGCCAGCGGTGGAGCGCTGTGCATCATCAGGACAGTAGGCCGCCTCCAGTCACCCCTGCATGCCTGCATGACCAACTGGGGCTCTTGTCTAATGGCTTGCTTTTAGCCATTTGTCAGCATGTCTGAGGGGGAAATGCCAATGTGAACTGCTGTGTTGCTGGGCCTCATGGCCCGGATTAAAGCACAAGCTCATGTTCACTGTGGCAGCACCGGAACATTGTAGCTGCCTGTTACCTGCATTCTGAGAAGGGCCCCTCTTCCCTTGAAGAGGCTTGTCCCTCCTTTATTAGAGGTTTTTTCCCTTTCCTTTTTTTTTTTTTTAATTATTCTCATTTTATTGTATAAGTGTTGTGTCTACATGTATGTTAAGTATACCCCGTCCTTGGCAAGAGCATCAAGTGGTTCTAACCACTGAACCATCTCTTCGGCCCAGAATTTTAAGTTTCTTTGTTATCTTATATTCTTTTTTTTTTTGGTTTTTCCAGACAGGGTTTCTCTATGTAGCTTTGTGCCTGTCCTGGAACTCACTCTGTAGCCCAGGCTGGCCTCAAATTCACAGAGATCCGCCTGCCTCTGCCTCCTGAGTACTGGGATTAAAGGTGTGTGCCCCCACTGCCGGGCTTTGTTATCTTATATTCTTAACTCAGTGGATAGGCCGAGGAATTTTAAGAACTTTTAGTTTATTCAACTCTTGGGATTTTTTTTTTTCTGCAGAGTTTTACATTTTAATCAAAAGTGAACATTTTTTTCCTTTAAGAGGATGGCACTAAAAAATATAAGAGTTTAGAGTTTGAGAGGAAGAGGTGTTTATCACACTAAACAGCATATCTCAAATGGGAAAAAGCATCAGAATTGCCTGTACTGCTTGTTGGCAGAGTCCTGGGCCCTAGGACCAGGCTTTGGTCATAAGAGGCAGTGTAGATTTGGAGCGAAGCCCAGGATTTGCATTTCCAAGTTCCCAGGTGATGTTGATGCTCCTGGTCTGAGGACTGGGATTAGCACTGGCATGAACATCGGGGTGCCATCTGGATTGCCTGGGAGCTAAGCACTGTTCTGTGCTTCCCAGCAGTGCCTCCTGTGTTGTAGGAAGGAGGAACTGTCTAGAACCAAGAACAGGAAGTTTCAAACAGGAGAGCTTGCATGCACAAAGATTCACAAAAGAACCTGGTACAGATCAGGATTCACTCTGAAGGCAGTGACAGCCGCTGAGGGGTGGAGTCGGCCTTACGTACTTCAAGAGAGTGGCTGACAGCAGCCGTGCTTCGGGATGTGTCTGTTCCTCTGTCGGTTCTAATTTTTGGGGGGGAGTTGGGGGTAAGATTGCATTTTGCTCTTTGGGGCGGTTCTGATTAGGAAGTAGAGTCGCCTGAACAGCACAGCCTTTCAGCAGGGCTGTGGGAATGCTGGCTGGTACATATATCACTTGCATGTAGATTTCCCTACTAGAATTTCAATTTGTTTGTTGAATCTAGAGAAATACTATAATTCTTTTCTACATCAAGAAAGGTGACCAGAACATATTCAAGTTGTCATGAGATGACAGATAATTTTTATTTTATCTTTCAAATTTTGCATAATTTTAAAATAATTTGAAATTAGTCAAAGTAATATTATTTTATATTTTGGAAAAAGAAAAGTGCCATTTTTCTGTATTTGCGTCTGTGTGTTGTGATGCTACTTTAGTTCTCTGATAGGTTAACATTCAGAGCCTAAACACAGGAATGCTGTTTCTTTTCCAGGTTGCAGAATACCTGTATGCTAATAAAATGGCTTTCCGATACCCAGAACCTGAAGACAAGGCCAAGTACATTAAAGAGAGAATATGGCGGAGTGATTATGTTTCCCTGCTGCCAGATGTGTACGATTGGCCAGAGTCTTCATTGAAGCCTCCTCAGATATCAGAATAGACGCTTTCCCATTGAGGCGCTCCATGCTGCAGGGAACCACTATTTTTAGACAAAGAGATAACACTCTCAGAGTTGCAGTCGTCTCTGTGTTATTCCTCCGCACCACTTTGCCTGGCATTTTTTTTTTCCCCGTGAATCTCTTTCTTTGGGAACAGCTATGTTGAATATACTGTTAATGCCCACCCGCGCCCACAGTCCGGTACTACGAATGCTTTAGTTCTGCTGGAGGTCGCCCCGTGTGCTCCTGTTTGAGCCTGCCACGGTGTTTTTGCTGTTACATGAATGTATCTTCCACTTCCACTCAGTTCCTCAAGGGCTGTGGATATGAATACAAAATGTTGAGAAGAAACCAAAATTTAACCTAACTCCAAAGAAAAACTGTCAGTAGCTAAAACTGTTCTTTTATATATGCTTCATTTTACTTTCATGCTCTGGAATCCTTTTGTAGTAGACAGATATGGGGAAATATGAAAAAAATTCCCGATTTCCTAGAACTAAATCGTGGCTAACTATAACATTATAGCAGAGTGGGAGGAGCCACCACTGCCTTTAGACAGGCTGAGCAGTCATCTGCAACAGTGTACAAAAAACCACTTTTGTCTAATAAAAGTCATACCTTACATTTCATTGTTTCAGCTACATTATCTTATTGACCGAACAGAAACTTAGGTGTGTTGATTATGAAAACACAGTTTCATCATCTTCAATTCTAGTTGAGGGAGGGTTATCTACCTAACATCTTAGGACAACTGTCATGTGCTTTGGAAATCCTATCTGAAGTACTTCACCACAGTCTATACCTTTTTTTCTGTCCCCTGTGTTCTTTATTTTGCAGTAGTTAGAGATTCTCCTATGACACGTTCCTTTGAATATTGGTAGTGACATCTTTCTCTGCTGAGAATGGATAATAGGTTTCCAAGCTCAGTGGATATAAAGAAAGTAGAATTAGACCAGGAAATGCCTTCTTTTGTTTTCTCATGGCAGGGTCTCACTATGTAGCTCAGGCTGTCCTAGAACTCCCTCTGTAGACCAGGCTGGCCTAGAACTCAGAGGTCTTACCTGCCTCTGCCTCCAGAGTGCTGGGATTAAAGGTGTGTACCACCACACCTGGCAGGAAATGTCGTTTTTTTTTTTTTTTTTTTTGGTTTTTCGAGACAGGGTTTCTCTGTAGTTTTGCGCCTTTCCTGGAACTCACTTGGTAGTCCAGGCTGGCCTCGAACTCACAGAGATCCGCCTGGCTCTGCCTCCCGAGTGCTGGGATTAAAGGCGTGCACCACCACTGCCCGGCCGAAATGTCGTTTTTATCCCAGGAAGATGTTAAGCACTGTATGAAGATGTCAGTGTTCATGGGTCACATGTTGGGGATTCTGAAGGAACTCTCTGAAGTGTTTTGAGAAATAGCAGTGTGGCTGGGACATTTGCCTATCTCAGTGCTTTGAGGGACAAAGCTTGTTTTTGTTTTGAGACCAGCAAGCTGGTCTGGAACTCACTAAATGTCCCTGGCTTGCTTCCAAGTGCTGAGATCATAGTTATGAACCACATACTCAGGGACAGAACTTAAAAATGCTCACCCTGGAATGGATGCAGTACAAAGCAATTCATAGGTACATATCACAGTACATATTTCATACTCTGTAGGTGGAAAGGACCACTTTTCCAGCTTCCTGCTTAAAGAGATTGAAATTCTGATATTTAAGACTGCTTAATGTGCACCAGACCCCAGGTTCAGTCCACAGGACCACCCCCAAAAGAAGGTTTGAAATGGCATTTCCATTTTAAGTATGGGTAGATATGGTGGTGAATAGTAGTCAGAAGTCTGTTTAGTAAAATAAGTAAATCATAGTTTTATTCATCTAAAGATGAAAGATTATACAGGCATGGGTCCAGCACTGAGGCAAGAGGACCTCAAGTTCGAAGCCAACTGGACTACTTAGTATCATCCTGTCTAGAAAAAAACCCACAAAATGAAAGCAAGATGGTTCAGTGGTTAAGGCCCTTGTTCCCAAGCCTTGACACTTAAATTTATTCCTGGGACTCGTGGTGGAAAGAAAGAACCAACTTCCAGAAGTTGTCCTCTGACACACACACACTACACACACACACACACACACACACACACACACTACACACACACACACCATAAATGTAACAAAAATCATGAAATAGGTTTATTTTTTTTATGTTCTTGTTAACATTATGTATGTAAAATCTTAGTTTGGAACACTGCAGGTATAAAAATTGCCAGCTTTTTGCTTATTTACTGAAGGTGAGGACATATGCTGAATTAAAGTAGTCTTACCAAGACGTTGCTTATTAAATATCTAGTACAATTCACAGCAGTCATTTTTAAGGAGAATATGGCAAAATGAAATACAACCTGCTTATAAACATTAATTATTGGATGCCAGTTTCGATGTTTTTTAATCTAAGAGTGGGAGGCCATGATGGCATCATATTGAGGGGGAGAAATATTTGGGCCTTCCATGGGTAATTTTGCCAAGCAAGAAGGTAATTATTTGGAAGAGTGGTAATGGGCTTATACTCAGTGGAGTAGATGAGCTTCCAGTCATCAGTAGGAAAAGGGTCCCTGTTTTCTTTCTTTCCATTGTGATGCACAGATGTTAATGTTCTAAGAGTTTCTAAGAGTGGCTTCTTAACTACAAGTTTGCTTCAGAATCACTGAACTTTTAAATGGCCATTATCTCTCCTCCCCGCCTTCAGACGCCTAAATGACCTCCTAGGGAGGGGAGCCCTGGCAGGTATTTTCAGCGGAACCCCCAGGGTTCTGATGGGCACCTTGTTCTCACAATCACTGCCGTAATGTGGGACATCAGGGTCATCTGGATGGTTGGCCCCATGCTGCTGGTGCTGCTGGTGCAGTTTCAGGATGGGGTTCACAACCTTGCAATTTTTTTTCTTATTTTTTATTAAATTAATTTTCATACACTGTATTTTGATCCTGTTTCTCCTCCCGATCTTCCCCATACTCCTACCCACTTGATGTTCATTCTCTGGGTCTCTGCTTCCTCAACAACAAAGATGACAAATGGAGTGTCACTGGGTATATTAACACACTCCAGGGGACTGTCACTGGGTATGTCAACACACTCTAGGGCAGTCCCCATGCCTAGGAGTAGTCGTCTAACACAAAACAGACTCATGTTTTTCTGTCTGGGTGTGTACTTTTGTTTTGGCTTACTGTTTGGTTGTTGAGGTCTCAGATTTCTAATGACCTCACTGGTGGTGCCCATGTGGTTGGAGAGAACTGGCCAGGCGGTTTTACGTTGCACGCACTTTTACATTAGTGCTCAGACGCTGTATGCTTCAACATGTATGGAAAGAGTCCGCTGAAATTACCCTATACGGAATAGCTTGCATCTAATTTTCCTTAGTTGATACAGGATATTTTTGGAGGTTAATAAGGAAGCTTTAGATATATTTTTTTTCTGAAAACATAATCTGTAATACTTTATTAAGCTCATAGAATCTAGTGACCAGTTTGTATTTGTGAAACAGCAGCTGTCCAATGGCTATTTGTGGGGTGGTGTTCTTCGTTCTCTAGAAGGACTTGCTGGTCCTTGACTTTTCTCTAAATTCCTGGCTTCTGGAGAAGAGATTTTACAAAGTTACTGATGAATTCAGACTGACGTCCTACGGAGTGCAGAGCGGAACATTCGTTATTGCTCCCACAGGGGATGGTGACGTGCAAAGAGCCTTGCCTTTGGGGAAAGTACAGATGTCCCTGGAGCTTTTTGTTTGGGGCTTTCTTGTCAGTGTTCTGGAGTTCACCTACACAGAACCAGCCCTAGTACAAATCTCAAAGCTCCTTACTGGGATTCCATTTCCAGAATCCCGCAGGGAACAGCAGCAGCATCCTGTTGCCATTCAAGATGTACTCCAGTGCAGACAGACATGTTGCTGACTGCACACCTGGACGTGTCTGTTACCAACCAGTGTGATTTACACTTTGTACATGATGTTAAAACGAGACTCACTAGCCAGAGGTTCTGCGAGCCTCTAATCCCAGCACATGGGAAGTAGGAGGAGAAGGATTGGGAGTTAAAGGCCACCTTCAACAACGGAGGTCAAGCCAGCCTGGGTTCCGTGAGACCCTGCCTCACAAACCCAAACCCCTAAAGATGAGCGAACGATACGCACTAGATACGTTAAATGTTCAAGATAATTCAGCTGTAGAAAAACTACCTCATCTGAAGTCAGATGTCTTAATATGTGCTGGAAGAAAGAGTGCTGGGTTTATGTTTTTTTTTTTGTTGTTGTTGGTTTTTCGAGACAGGGTTTCTCTGTGTAGCTTTGCGCTTGTCCTGGAACTCACTTGGTAGTCCAGGCTGGCCTCGAACTCACAGAGATCCGCCTGGCTCTGCCTCCCGAGTGCTGGGATTAAAGGCGTGCGCCACCACCGCCCGGCTGGGTTTATGTTTTTTCTTTCAAATTTCAAGACATTCAGGTAGTCCAAAGGAGGACATGCCTTGGGGAACTCTCTAATCTTTCCTGGCACTTAAAGTATCGCTTAGGTTTTAAAGCAATATCTTAAAGAAAATTGTGTCCCTCAGAGAGAAAAAGGAAATGGTCTAAATAGTTGGTTTGTGTTACTTTCACATTTAATTTTACCTTGTGTGCTTCCAGGAAAGGCCCAGGCTAGCACACAAGTAAGTGTATCTTTGGCTAAGTAATTATTTCCCCAATAAATAGACTCTTTAATTTTTTTTCTGCCACATAAAAATATATGTGCAGTCTGAGTACCTTAGACATTGTTCCTACACTTCATATCCTCTAAGTCTTAGACACCCAGACATCTGTTGGTTTATATTCCTCGGTTTTCAGGACCTTTGTTTGCTTTCACTGGGCCTTTTTATTTCTGATTTGGGGGCAGGGCCATTGTAATGTCGTCAAGCCTTACACTTGTGACTTAGCCACCCCCCTGCCCCACCCCCACCCCTGTGCCGGAATGGTCTGCGCACATTCTAGAAAGTGTTTTCTCTTTTCTAACTGTGTGCTTCCAGAAAATCATTGCTTTCGTGGGGTCATTGGGTTGTCACCAATGCATTCCATGTGCAGTTGCCAAGTCATGACAGACTCACCCGTGTGGCTGTGCCTACCCCGTGTCAGGCGTTCGAAGCATCTTGCACGTTTACACTGGATCACTGTGTTTCTGACCCTGTATTACAAACAAGGACAGAGTCCTAGGGACGTTAAAGAGCTCGCGGTGAGCTGCCAAGCTGGGGCTCAGCTCAGACCCCTGTCAACGAAGGGCCGGCCACTGCAGCCAATTTTATCTGAGTGGAAATTCTTCACCTATTTGTACAAGATTAGTTTTGAGTCCTCTTGAATGCATTTTACCAGTTCATGTGATTTTTTTCCCCTTTGTTCCTACTTAATAATTCAAATACCCTACAAACCCCTTATTTGTTAAGTATTGGGTGTGTTTATTAAGGGGGTTTTTGGTTTGGTTTGGTTTGAATGTGATAGGTATACCAAAGATTCTCAATAGCTAACACTGACAGCTCTAGATTTGGTAATATTCACAGAGCCACCAGCTACTGTCACTTTCCTTTTTCATCACTCACTTTGTGAATCTGCTCCTGTCAGCGCACACCTGGAACA